GAAATATGTGAACCTCCTATTTACATAAAATATTTACGTAAATATTCCGTAACAATTCTGAAATATGTGAACCCCATAATTATATAAAAATGTAACGTAACTATGATGTAAATGATATGTGACAATTTGATATCAATATAAAAGCTTATATGAAAGCTACATGACTTTACTAGGACTCTCGGCCGTAAATTCTCTGCAGACTTGATTCTGCGTCAATTAAGGATTTTCGTTGGGATGATCCTCTGATCAGTACCCGTGGTCTCGCGCTGTAATGTTCCCCCACCGCGATGATTATTATTTTTCGCTCTCGCACTGTTGCGTTCCTCCGTGACCACTCTGAGGTTATAAGTAATGAGTGAAGACTTGGAGACTGAGAGCATTTTCAGTATTTTCTTACTATTCCGAGTGATTTTCTTGTTTCCACCAATTTTCTGCGCTGTAGTGGTCCCCCATCCCACATGCCCAATTCCTATTGGTCGACTACTTTGAGGTTATGAGTTATAATTATAAGTGAAGACGAGACCATAAACGAACTACACTGAAGGCATTTTCGGTATTTTATAACTATTTCGAGTGTTTTTCTTGTTTCTACCTGCTGTGTTTGATGAATTAAACTAAACTAAAAGTGTTAATAAGAATAAGTGGAGGTGAGTGAGAATAAAACATGCATTGAGATTTTCCTAACCTCTGTGAAAACAACAAGAAAGAAATAGTTACATATCTATCCTGGACCTCTTAAATATGCCTAGAATAAATTATGAATCTGGTAGGTATTGATAGAATCCGAGTTATAATCTGGTCGAACTCCAATTCTCATATGAAATTGAACAAAAGCCAGTGATTGATTATGATGGCTGATGAAAACCCCAGTGAAAACCCCAAAGTGCCTCACATTCTGGATTAAAGTTATTATTATTGGTTATGGAAATTTAATCATTTTGTCAGTGATTATTATTTTTTGTTTCATAAATAAGTTCATGAAGAACCCCAATAAGATGAATCCTGAAATGTATACTTTTCCAGGTAGGTACATCTTTTCAAAACTCAAGGTGGTAGAGATGGGAGAGACTATCTATATAGGGGCCACACAATGTTCCTGGTAAGGGCAGAGGGGAAACATTGAAGTCAGAGATTTGAAATCAATCGAAATATCATTATCTGGTAATATATATTTTAGATTTTAATTTGAAAAATGAAAAACAAAGCAATATTTTTTCAGACTCCATCATTATCACACACCCTTTGATATCTTACTCTGATAGATAAACCAGCAGGAAGGTGGTTCTGATTTAGTCACCAGAGGTTAAATGGAGGGTTGAATTGGGAGATCAAGAAGGAAGATATAATTTGATTACTCAAAATTTTGATTTTTTGAACTTTTGAAGTAGGTATACATAAATGGTCTCACTATTTTCAAAGAAAAATAAAGGTCATGTTTTTCATTTGATAGTTGATGTTGTTTTATCATCTTCTATTCAGGACATTCCATTTTATTCGATTTGAACATTATTCATTCCATAATTTTTTGACAATTTTTTTGTTTCAAAGTTAGCAACTGAATGCTCGCTATAATGCATAATATTTGGAACAGAAAGTCTTAAAAATTTTCGAGCAGAGTTTTATTGTACATGAGGAGAATTGAAGTGAATACTGAATGATATAGGAGATACTAAACCATCAAGCATTTTATGACTAATCTCTCTCTGTTACATTTTCCCACACAATCAAAAATTGCCAAATAACTTCTTTTTCACACTAGCCCACTTCCAACTCTCATGCACATTTCTATAACCATATATCATCATCAGTAATATCAGTATAGATATTATGGAGTGTAGAGTTTGGATCACCTACTGAGATGATTGTACTTAGTTATCAATATGTGCATATGCCTGTGAAGTGAGTTAGTGAAGTGAAGAGGTTATTCGTGAAATTCCAATATTCATTTCGGATATTAGTCAAGTAGTTTCATCAGTATTATATTAAAATGGAGTCATATTTGTAGCTGATATTTTTACATAATGGGGATGTAAATTTTATATAACATCTAGAGAATGTTATGTAATATTTATGTCAGTTTGTTATATACGTAACATCTTATTTATAGCAATGAAATTATATGAAATATATATAAAATAGTGACATAATTGATACGTAATAATCATGTAGTATTTGTGGCGGACATTTCGCCATAACAGTGATGTAAGTCTTACATAACATAGTTACATAACACGTATTGTCAGTTATGTAACACTTATGTCAATTTTACATAATTGTGTTTGCTGGGTTGTTGACATAATAATCGTTTTTGAAGCCTTTTGTCCGAATGAAATTATTTCAGGAGCTGATATTTCAGTGACACCTTGCTGAATGTCCAACAATTGTACTGAGATCAAAAATATTTCAATTTGAGACAAAAAAATTTCAATGTTTAGGTTTTTCAGAAATTTGTATCTTCTATGAATGAATGAGTTTCGACTTCATATGATATCGATCCCTAGTCTCAACCTTCTTCTTTACGATGATTTGATTAGTTTTTAAATCGAATCATTCATAAGCCCAAAAAGCAGAAAAAAGTAGGTACAGGCCTACATGACGAATCGATTGAAACTCCCCTCTTAACGTCACGTTATATAAGTCATAACATTAGGCAGAATAATCACTGAACTTGGCTGATGTACCTAGTAGTTCTGTCAATGAACGTGCTGTAGAGGACTTGGGAAAGGCCAGAATTCTTGGCACAAGGAGTAGATAAAAAGTAAAATTTACAAAATTCCCCGAACTTAAAAGGTGAGCCAAAGTGCAGGGGGTCTCTTTTTTTATTTATCGTTTATATATCGAAGACTGGAACCTTTGGCACGATAATACACTGCACTGTTTTACTAATATAACCAAACCGATTTTTTAAACGCCTCGACACGTGTTTCGCTAAGGAGAAGATTAAAACAGCGCTATCACTGAATATGACCCCACTTAGTCATAGTGTGTATTTTCGGTATCTAAAGTTACAGGGGTGCTTCCATTAGAAGTGAGACTCACTATATACAGCATGTCTCAACGCCCCCCCCCCCTCTGTATATCGCACGAATGCGTACCAATCAGAACAATCTAAGAAGCGCCTGCGTGTTGAGAAAAACGTCTAGGGTGCAACAAACATGCAACAAATTACAAATATTCCATGTGAAGGTATCTGGTTTTGTCGACTAAATCATTTCTGAAGAAGGATTTTCTTGAGAATCGTGGTTGGGCTTTCTCAATTCAGAATTTCTTTCCAGGACTTGATGATGTAAATATCTATATATGTAGATCAACTCATCAAACACTATGAATAAATTCTTTCTTCACTCACTTCTCTGGAACACCGTAGACAAGTTGGCGATCTGGTCCTATTTTATAGATATTTTCATGGGCGATGCTCTTCTGAAATATCAACAATTGTTCCTCCATTGGCAGTCCCCGCGAGATTAACCCGTCGAGTTGAGGCTTCGCACCCCTGCGTGGTCACTTTGGAGACCTGCAGAACATTTATTTCCAAAGACTCGTTTATCCAACGAACAGCGAGGCTCTGGACTGGAACACATTGCCAAGGAGAGGTGTTCCCCGAGGCATATAACCTTCAGAAATTTAAGAAGAACACCAATTCCTACCTTATTTCCCTTGGTTCTCACGATGTTCTCTGAACATCCCTTTTCGAAGGAACGAGAACATAAAAAAAATTTATAATTGTCAAGTATCTTCGTGGCACAGTTCTCTATGCTTTCGGATTCCACACCGGCGACCCGGGTTCAATTCCTGCGACAGTTGGCTTTTTCTTTCTCAAGTGATTTTCGAAAAAATAACTTTTTTAGTGAGCATGTTCATTTAGGTCAAGTAAGGTTAGAATGACACTGACAAGTTTGACAAGATTCGCACCACCTTTACCCGAATGACTAATTAGTTGCGTCACCTTTCGATCCTACCTATTCACGAAACAAGTATTCATCTATGACTAATAATTATAATAATGATGATATCTGAATTATACGGGGTACGTGGTAGGATGGAACATGGAATATACTACAGGTATATACAGGGTCATTTAAAACGATAATCTCCACTTAAATGCGGACTTTTGGTCAACTTTCTAATTCCTGATGAAATACAGTTTTTTTCGTATCAACTCACAACTCTGAATTATTATTGAAAATCACATTCGAAGGATACCTAGGTGAATTTTATAAAATTACATTATTTGATACATCACACATGTTCCTTGCCTGTTCAATTTCAACTGACTGAGTTAACATTTTTCATTCAAATAAATTGGTAAAATAAATTTTAGAATTGAATTGAATGTAACAGGAGCATTATGAACTAACATGGTGTTATATTATTTTTCAATCAAGAACCATTGTGTTGAAAAAAATCATACTCCAATCTGAAACATAATGAATAAGCTAAGTTTTTAAATAGTAAGGATGAAGGAGTAAATTTTGATTTTTCTGTATAATGATCGAGCCATCAGCTTTTCTCGGGAGCTGAAATTCAGGCTAATATTTCGAATCTTGAATCTACAATTTCACCAAAATCGGAAAGAATTATAAAAGTTACAGGGCGATCGATTTTGTTTGCCGGGTTTTCATGCCGGTGAGTGTAAGTTGGCTCTCAAGGGGGACTTTTTTCCCTATTTTTCGTTCGTGGAATCTAGAGACTATGTATTCTACGCCAATTATGGTACAATCTGTATTATTATCACTTATAATTACAATTACACAAATGCAACTTTTTTCTTGAAGTAAACATTTCAATGAGAATTTGGTTGTCTGGACACGCGCGCCACCTAGGGTAGAACGACAAAAGCTTTACAAAACAAATTCCATCTCGCAGTGGCCGAACGGCGAACGCCGAACGCCTATTTGCAATGCCAGCAGAAGTGCTCTGCTTTTACTAGCGATTTAATTGCCATCTACTAGTGAATAACGAAAACTATGAATCTAATAGGAGGTGACCACCTTACCGGCAGAATCTCTCCATCAACTGTCAAAATAATGTCAAAATGCGAAAGCTCTCTTTCTAAAAGTCTGTGAATCAGAAAAAGGTATGTTGGAATTTATTTTCAATAATTTCTGGATGATCCCCATAATTTCAATTTAAAAAGATGCTTATTTAGCAATGTTGAATGTTCCTCCACATTCCAATATCGATATTTTTTGTCAATTATTTATTTTTCATTGAAATAAACACTAATAAATTGTAAGTTACACTCTAGTCCTTCAATTTTTCTGTTATTTTACTCACAAGGTCCCAGGATGTGTGTGTTATAACTAATATCTTTGTATAATTTCAGATTATAATGGCAAAGCTAAAGGGCGAGAAAAAGGGCAAGTCTGCTATAAATGAAGTAGTGACCCGTGAATACACAGTAAACCTACACAAAAGGTTGCATGGAATTGGTTTCAAAAAACGTGCCCCCAGAGCTATCAAAGCCATTCGTCAATTCGCTGAAAAACAGATGGGAACACCTGATGTAAGAATTGATACAAGGCTAAACAAGCAGTTATGGTCCAAAGGAATCAGGTCAGTATACCTAAAATACCTATGTATATGTAAATAGATTGTGCCCTCATAACTATTGTTTCCATAACATAAGAGTACCCTGAGCAATTAGTCATATTTCACTGTCACTAGACAATTATTTTCAAGCTTGATATCTAATCCAGAGAAGTCCATGATTATTTCTTTGTCTGATTTGAAAACACCCCATGTTTTCCCCAAAACCATTAGGAGAACCTACTCATAATCATTTTTTTTTAGAAATGTTCCTTTTCGTGTACGAGTGAGGCTCTCCAGGAGAAGGAATGATGATGAAGACTCTGTGAATAAACTTTACACTCTCATCACCTATGTTCCAGTAGCAACTTTCAAGGGCCTTCAAACTGAGAATGTTGATGCAAGTCAAGAGTAAATAAATGTTAATTCCTTAGTTCAATGATTTTTATTCAATTAAACTAAAGAACACTACTTTGGTTCTTTTGAGAATCCCATCTGAATGATTGTGGAGTCCAAATGAATGAAAATATAAACACTGGTATAAAATTCATAATAATAAATAAATGTAAATTCCATCAAAATGATGTGCAAGCAGAAATGCCATACTCTTTGCTGCTTAAGCCTAAATTAATTCATATCAACTTTGTGGGTTGAAAATGCTGATAATAACTCCTAGTAAAGTCTACCATCAAATCTGCCTGACACTCTGGCAAATCACCAATACAACTACCAGGTGATCCACTATATCTTGTAAATGGTGGCACAACTGTTTCTGGAGCTAAAATAGTGTTATCTTCAATGACACAACAATCTCTTAAAGTACATCGACGACCCTGAAAAGAGACTTGTTGAAAAGTATGAATAATATGAATTATAATATACTAACAATAACACAATTCTTTCCAATGTATACATAGTTCCCTACAATAGCAGCATTAACTAATGATTTTTCTCCAACATACACATGATCACCCATGGTAAGAGGAAAGAATGCCACTCTGAAAAATAAGTTAACTGTGAGTGGATTGGAACAAATACATGAAGCAAGTCATCAATACCCTTTGCTGAACTTTTTGTATGGTGGTCTCAAAACTGCTTCTTTGCTGATGATACAATACCTTCCAGTTTTCACATTGGCTAAATCACCCCTTATGATTGCTTCTGATTGTACAATTACTTTTCCTTGTAGAATAATATTCTGAGAACCACACAGGACAGTCTGTCTACAAACTTTGTTTCCAGAAGCCTAAAAGAATCAATTAGATGTATTATTCAAATTGTATTGAATGGCTCACAGTTTCAACGTAATCACTTTTGTTGTAGTTTATATCTCTCAACTCCATTTTATTACAATAATATTGTTTCCAAATAGTTCAACAAATTTAAAGTATTTATTTTTTCTTTTTCACCTACGAATCCTAGAATCCTACGATACGACAAGTCGACGTCAGTGTTGACATTCTTCATTCTTGACACTAATGACATGAGACACATTGACAATCATAAGTATCCTTCTTCTTATTATTTTGTCAGGCAGAATAAAATTTGAACCATATAGAGGAAAAGAAGAATGTAGAAGGAGAGAGAAGAAGCTTGATTTATACTGACATTGAAGAGTGACAGTGAATGATGACACTGATGACAGACCGCAGACAGAATGACAGTGAGTGATTGTTGTTTATTGTGGCTTGTTTATTTTTCTCATCTACCTTCATTGTTCTTGTTCATAATACTGCGTCGCAAAATTGGAAGTTATTTTTGTTGAAATACTCAACTTTCGAGTATTATATTTCATGACATTCGATCATGGGCCATAATTCTAAAGCCTCTAGTAACAATTTCAAAGATCTACTACAAAACTACATTGAGAAATTAGAGGAAATAGTAGGAAAGCTCCACGATTTACGACAGACCATCGCTAGTCACCACAAGACATGCAACATAGCGAAAACAGCTGGCACAGCTGTCAGCGGAACAGGAGTTGCTATAGTAGTAGGATCTGTACTATCAGCACCCTTTACTGGAGGTAGTACCTTAGCTGTAGGAGCAGGAGGTGCAGTAATGTCTGTAACAGGGGGTATATCAAATGTAATAACTGACTATGTTGACTATCGTACCACCACTATGATTATGGCTGACATAGAGAATATTGTTAAAAGTAAGGAAACCTTTGATGAGAATCTTAGTAGACAACTGAAACATTTTGGGATGGTTATTGATAACTTGATTTCAACTGGAGTTGACAAGGATAGTGCAATAGTAATTGCAGTTAAAGGTAACAATTTCATTTTTTGCCTATGTTAACCAAATTCTATTTTGACCATGTTTTTTATAACTTCTAGCCATTGCAAATGGGTGTATAGATCTAACAGAGGAACCAAACATGAAACTCATGAATACATTGAGCACAATAATCAAACTACACCATGTTGAAAGTGCTGCTTTAGAAACACTGCCCATTATAGGCAGAACTATGCATATGTCAGAAAAATCATTTCAGTTCATTTATGTATTTTTTGGATTGACTGGGCAGACTGGTGCTGCAGTCTTCAAGACAATTGGGAGAATCTCTAGTGTGATTTCTATTGCTTTTACAATAGTTGATATTGCAATTCTGGTGAAAGATTGGACCACTGAGCATCCTACTGTTGAAGTAGTTTTGGAAACTGAAAGAAAAATTGAGGAAGAGAGGAGGATACTTGTTGATTTGTTGGAGGTTTTGGAAAATTCAAAGGATGAAGTGGAAGATGTTTGGATGAGAATTTTGAAGGAGATAGAAGATATTGAAGAAAAGGAACTTGCCTTTGAGCATGATTTTGTGATTGTAAATAATGACATAGAGGTAGAAAGTTGAAAAATTGATCATTTATTCTTTATTATATAATTTTTAATTTGTATAACAATCTTTGGATATTGCTGTAATTTGAAATTCTGCAACTTATAAGTTTCTCTGAAATTGCTGCAAGTTATTGTTTTAAAATTATATTTCAATATGTATACCTGCTGCATTCTGAGAAATAAAGACATATCCCCAATAACTATAAATTGCTGCAAGTAATGATGATTAACAGGCCATAATTTTAAATTATGCAACATGGTCACTAATTTTGCTATGACTGCAAATGAGAAATATTTTCAAAACTGACCTGCAATAATTTGAAATACTGTCACATTCAACACTAACCATCAGGGGTAGGTTATTTCATTAACATTGTTTCAATTTCATTTTATATACCTTACAACTAGTATAATGTACTGATTTGAAATGTTGCCATCCTTACAGCAATTTGAAATTTTAAGCTACAATAATTACAAAGTGCAGTAATTTGAAATAATGAAAATTGTATACTTTCTGAATGTGCTGCAAGCTAATAGCCCACACTGATTGATTTTAAAACATGCAACAATTCTTCAATCTTCTAGATTAAAATGCTGCAAAATTTAGAAGAACAGGGTGGACACGATCTTTTCAACCTTCTTTATTCAACAGAAAATCACAACACTAGTGAAGACCTAAAGTCTTCCATAGTATGTAGCTTTAGCAAAATTTCCCAAGGTCGCGATCCCTTTGATTTCGGCCATATGCAGGAGTCTCTTGGGTACTGTCGGACCCTGACATTAATAATTGTTAATTTTGAATCATATAACATTCAGCAATTTGTGTTTTGCGCCTTATATGCAATAGTAAATCAGATATGCCGTAGGTACTGACTACTCAGTCACTTTTTTTGTGCTACAAGTAATAACTTGCAGTTATTTGAAATTTGGCTTTATGAAACATCCAACATTAATGCATGTGAAACTATTGACATGATTTTCTTCCCAATGCTGCCAACAATGATGATTATTAACTTGCAGTACTTTGAAATTTAGTAGTTTCGACTTTCACCTAATTGAAAAGTTGCAATTATATAAGTAGTTCATAACATTGCTGCAAGTTTAATCTGCCTCGCAGATTTTTAAGTAGCAGTTATTTCTTGGGGTATTTCGCATATTATTAAAAACGTTCAATACTTTGAAATTTTGCATCCCATTTGCATTATAAATATGAAGAACTAATTTGAAATGTTCTTACAGCAATTTGAAGTTTTGAGCTGCTATAATCTGAACTTAGAACTTGCAGTTATTCGGAATGTTGAAACTCATGACAAATCTCATTCAAATGGCTGCAAGGCAACTTGCAGCCATTTGAAATTATAGTAACTACCAATAATACTTTTTGAAAGTGCTGCAAGTTAATAAATCAGTGAATTGAAAACATGCAACAAATCTAGAAGCAATGGCATCTGAGCGATGTCTTGGGCTGCAAGGCAACCTGCAGCCTTTTGAAATTATAATTACCAATAATACTTTTTGAAAGTGCTGCAAGTTAATAAATCACTGATTTGAAAACATCCAACAAATCTAAAAGCAATGGCATCTGAGCGATGTCTTGGGCTGCAAGGCAACTTGCAGCCATTTGAAATTATAATAACTACCAATAATACTTTTTGAAAGTGCTGCAAGTTAATAAATCAGTGATTTGAAAACATCCAACAAATCTAGAAGCAATGGCATCCGAGCGATGTCTTGGGCTGCAAGGCAACTTGCAGCCATTTGAAATTATAATAACTACCAATAATACTTTTTGAAAGTGCTGCAAGTTAATAAATCACAGTGATTTGAAAACATCCAACAAATCTAGAAGCAATGGCATCGGAGCAATGTCTTGCAACGACTGCTAAATATTTGCTTGCAGTCAACTCGTTAGTTTGATACTGCTGCAGAATAGAGTACAGGGTGGATATAAATAATATAAACAAAACAGATGATCTCTTCAACCTCCTTTATTCAACAGAGATGAATCATGACGAAACAAAATCACAAAACGACCTAAACGGCTTCCGTCCTGGCAGGCCCCACAATCGCCCCATGATTCTTCGCCAAATAATCGGCAAACTCCTGATACGGCGTCTTGCTCAGCGGCATCTCCTTCCACAAATCCGGCGTCAAATAGGCGTAAGTCTTTGCTATAGCTGCATAAGTAGCTTTAGCAAAGTTACCAAGCGTCCCGGTGGATCCCCTCGCCGAGGTGTAGCAATCTTCGATTCCTGCCATCTGCAGGAGTTTCTTGGGCACGGGGGCAGAGACAATGCCGGTACCGCGGGGGGCCGGAATCAGACGGACGGTTACTGAACCGCATTTTCCGGTTACCTGGAACAAATCAAAAAGATCTGGGGGTAGATATTTCGAATATTGAACGATGAGGTGTTTAGGGTAGTATTTTTGAAAGTTCAGACATTCTTAGCCATCATTGAGACGGGTCCCTCTGGTGGAAACCGCGAAAGAAATATGTTATTCATCATGATAAAAATTCAACTCACAGTTTATAAATGCTCATTAGAATGCAAAATAGATTGAAAAATTAATAATATTGATGGATGTTCAAAAATTTGAGGGTCTCCAGGTATAATTAGAACCCCCACTCTACTTTTTCATGTTTTGTTTCAATGTTTTCTTTTCAAGGACGTTCTTAAATATTTTTTCTGTAGATTTTATACCTAAAAGGTCTGTACAAAATCTCAGCACATAATCCTGAGGTGAAAATAAGTCCATTTGAAGCAACTTAAACTGCTCCAGTTGCAAGATACAGGGTGGTGAAGATAAAATCGACAAGAACACTCCAAGAAAGTATTTTGAAAAACCCATTTTTGCCTGCTAATTCAATGATCAAATTAAATCCACGAAGATTTTTTTATTAGAAATAATTTGAATATTCCCGTGCTGCATACACAAACATCGAAATATCTCTGAATCAGCTTACTCTAGCGAATTTTCACGGGAGTATATTTTATTATTGAAAATGTCCGGAAAATTATTATCTCAACAAATTAGAGAAGCTTAACTGAGAAGAATGTTATGACCTTTCTTAACCATTAGAAGTGCATTGGAAAGCACTTATCTAAAAGAAAACCTGGATATCAATTTTTGGAGAAATACATTTGAAAATGTTCATAACTTCACCACCATGTATCTCAGAAAAGAAGCAATTTTGGACTTAGGTGCTGAGATTTTGTACAGACCTCTCAGGAGCATCCTGTATAATGCCAACAGAAAAACAGACATTTCAAAAAATACTTATGGGCAACAGTTAAGAATTTTTTAAATAGTACTATGTTTGTATGTTCATTCTCCCTGAAGAGCATGATTTCATTGATTTATCCACACTTGGGGTCTAGCTGAAATGATGACAGAGATGTAGGGTGTGAAAAATTGAGAATTTTTCAAGAGTATTTTTTTGTCAAAACTGCTCATTATTGGCCATAACGGTTTTCCTGCCCCAATTCGCGATTTTAACTACCGATGAGTAATGTTTCTTGTTTTGTACAGTGACTCTTCAATATTAGTCATATTTATAGAATCTCAACCAAAAATTCTGAAAAAACACTCAAAACAACGATTACTAATCCTTTACAGATTACTCACTAGGTAGGTTCACAATTTCACTACCAGATGGCGTCTAGACTTTACTATTCGCGAATCTGAACTTTTGATTTACAATCTACTGACATTTAATTGGAACAAATCCCATTCTTTTTCACACCCTGTAACACTGTAATTATTTCAGCTAGACCCCAAGTGTGATAGATCGATGAAATCAGCTCTGCAGGGAGAATTTGAAAATACAATAAAATACAAGATGAACTATTTAAAAATGTCTAGCCCAGAAGTAATTTATGAGATGTTCCAACTGTTTTTCTGTTGGCCATACATGAAAAATCTACAGAAAAAATACCATAAAAAAGTACCTTGGAAAAAAAATTCAACAATAACTACATAAAGTCAAGTGGGGGATCAAAATACAGTGTTCCCATCTTAAGGACTTACCACTCCTGTAAAATTGTTATTATCTGACATATTTAAAAAAAACTATTTTTGTTGGATAGGTATTTGAAATGTCTATCCAACAAGAGAGTGATTTTACTCATGAACTGTAATCATGGCCAACTGCGACCAACTTTATTGACCCATATTTGAGAAAGTACTATTGGGGATTTTTTTTCACAAAAACAAATGATGGATTCTGAATCATGATCACTTGAGAAACACCTTTACTGATTTTTATCATCATAAAACACAGGGTGTCCGAAAAAACGAATTATGTTTTTTTTAGTAGGTGATCAAAAAATGTAGTATTGTGGTATTTTTGAGAAGAATTGATGACACATTATTATTGAGGATCACTTTGAACATATCTGTACCGATTTTCATCATTCAAAAATACGATGTGTATGAGAAAACAAGAAAAAAGAAAAAGTAGGCAATATTTTTTCATCAACCAAAAAAAAATATTATTTGATTTTTCGAACACCCTGTGTTAAATGATGATGAAAATCGGTACAGGTATGTTCCAAGTGATCCTGATTCATCTTTTTATTTTTAGTGAAGAATTATCAGGTTCAGAAATATTGCTTACCTATCCTTTTTAATTTTTTTCTCAGACACAATGTATATTCAAATGACGAAAATTGGTACAGGTACATTTGAAATAATCCTCAATGATAATATGTGATTATTTCTTTCTAGAAAAACCACAGAACTACATTTGCTGATCACCTATTTGAAGAAAATGATAATTTGTTTTTTCGGACACCCTGTGTTTTATGATGATAAAAATCGGTACAGGTATATTTCAAGTGGCACTGATACAGAATCCATCATCAAGTTTCGTGGAAGAAAATCCCTAATAGAACTTTCTGGAATATGGGTCATTGAAATTAGTCACAGTTGGTCACGATAACAGTCCAAGAATTAGATCACTCTCTCGTTGGATGGGCATTTCAAATACCTATCCAACAAAAAAAGGTTTTTTGAAATTGGTCGGATAATAACGATTTTACAGGGGTGGTAAGTCCTTAAGGTGGACACACTGTATATGAAGACCCTTCACAACCATGTACAAAAAAATTGAACTCTGTTATATCAGAATGTAGGCACTATAGTGATATATTTTCACAATCTGGTGTGAGAGAAACGAGATTGCTGGCTCATTTTCATCCAAATGACAGTTTTATTGCTACTGTCAACCTATTCAATAAAATCACTTTTTCTACAAGCGTGCGTGATTCACCCTATACCCGCACGCAATTTAGTTTGGTAAGTATCATTTTCCCGCAACAGTGCGGGAAAACAAAGATATGATAAAATCGCTAATAATATAAGTGGTTGGTGATGGAATATAAAAGTTTAAGTTTGTTTGTTGCAGTATTAAGTATGTATGTTCAGAATCATACATCAAATTGCACTATTTATTGTCAAAATTTAGAAATATTGAGAAATAAAAATTGATTATTATAAAAATCCCCCTATAGATTTGGATTGATATGTCAGGAAACGATTATTGTTGTCATGCTAATCAAACCACAAATAAGTTTGAAATTGTCGAAGTGACAGACACAGCGGTACTGTCATTCTTGATTCAGTGGAAATGCCACAATGTGATCGAAAACTTCTAGCTATAGGGATTTGATACAGATGCGTTATCACCAACGAAGTCTTAAGAAAGGTATGAGAAGCTATAGACGCGTTTTATTGAATGGGGCAACAATAAAGAAATGAAAATACCGAATAAAGAATAGGTATTTTTGGCACATTTCATACATTTCATAGAAGTGTCTGAAACCCAGAGACCAAACTACTTATGGGCCTGCTGGCTTCCGCAATGAACCAACATAATGCGTCAAACTGTAAGTTCACAATAGCTATTACTAATAATTAGTAGAGGGAGAATATATATCTCCTGTTAGTTGTTCCTATTTGCTTGAATAATTAATTGAACGAATCAATCAATTTCCTACGCTTGTAGAAAAAATATTGTTCCTAACTCATGCCGAAAGTGTCTTTCCCGCACTCGACTGCTTGCCCGAACTCCGCTTCGCGTCGTTCGTGTCAACGGCAGTCACGTGCGGGAAAGAATCACTTTCCGCACTTGTTAGGAAAATTACGGTTCAAGTTTCGTTCAGCTGAAATCAGTTATGGAAAATTTGTTGCTATGGCAACCGTTGTCATGGTAACAGGTAAACAGAAAACAAAATCCCGTGGTGAGGAAATGCATGGTTGCCAAGTTGTATCGGGTTTAGTATAGCTGAAATCAGTTATGGAAAAACTGTTGCCATGGCAACGATCGTCATGGTAAGGAGTAAACAAAAACCCGATTCCCGTGGTGAGGAAATGCGTGGTTGCCAAGTTGTATCGGGTTTTGTTTGACTGAAATCAGTTATGGAAAAACTATTGCCATGGCAACGATCGTCATGGTAACGAGCAAACAAAAATCCGAATCCAGTGGTGAGGAAATGCGTGGTTGCCAAGTTGTATCGGGTTTAGTATAGCTGAAATCAGCGCAATCTTCGACCCTCAAATTTTTTTCTGCTAGTATTCAAACAATAACTTGATTCGAATGAATACCCTTCTCATCAATTTCTTGAAGACTGTTCGTCGTTGATCAATTCCCAAATTACTACTTCTCTGACGATCATATATGGAAATAACGTCAGGAAAAAATTAGCTTCGTTATTGAACAGAGCTAGACAAAATAGCGAGCGACAAAATAATGCGGAACAAATAGCGCATAAGAAAGGACACTACTTTTTCTAAACAATCTGACCTAACTCGGCTTAAATGAACCTTCTTAGAAAAAATATATTTTTCAACATCGATCAGATTTGGTAGCAAGGCATCGTTCGTGTGTGTTTGAAGACTGCATAAAAAAGGACACTACTTTTTCCAAACAATCTAACCTAACTCGACTCAAATCAACCTTCTTCTTGAAAAACATATATTTTTCAACATCGTTCAGATTTGGTAGCAAGGCATCGTTCGTGTATGTTTGAAGACTGTTGCTGAATATTCCAAAATGTCTCTGTTTCTTTTTGATTTTGTCGAATAGCTCGGCACGCGAAGAATGGTTACATTGAAGTGTTTTTGAAATTAATGAATGAAGCAATAATTATTCTCCGATACAAATTGGCAACCACGCATTTCCTCACCATGGAAATCGGATATTTTCTTTACTCGTTACCATGACGATCGTTTTGCCATGGCAATAGTTTTTCCATAACTGATTTCAGCCAAACTAAACCCAATACAACTTGGCAACCACGCATTTCCTCACCACGGGAATCGGGCTTTTGTTTACTCCTCACCATGACGATCGTTGCCATGGCAACAGTTTTTTCCTAACTGATTTCAGCTATACTAAACCCATATGACTAAACCCGATACAACTTGGCAACCACGCATTTCCTCACCACGGGAATCGGGTTTTTGTTTACTCGTTATCATGACGATCGTTGCCATAGCAACAGTTTTTTCATAACTGATTTCAGCTAAACAAAACTTGAGCCAAAATTACTATTAGATAATTGTAATGAGATTGAAAAATATTTAAAATAGCAGCATTCTCCAATTTTTTTGAATAATTACTTGAAACTCTGTATGTGATCATAATATTAAAAACAACTTTTTCAAAGAAATCTTGCCATCTAACCCCACATTTTTGAGTCACCAAGCTCCCATTGTATTCGTCATGTGCAGAGTTGCAAAAAGTCACAGTTTATTAATAAAAATTGAAGAATCTAATTTTTCCATTAAATCATGATGAAATCAACTTTGAAATAGCTCATTTCCATAATTTTTCCTCATTCATTCAAAGTTAAAAAGTATCTTTGGCAACAAAAAAACTTACAATGTGTGGTTGAATCAATATTTACATTGGACTGAGATCTATCTAAAATATTTAAAATAGCAGCATTCTCCAATTTTTTCAATAATTGCTTGAAACTCTGTATGTGAGCATAAAATTCTCTCTTCTATCTTGCCATCTAACCTCACATTTTTGAGTCACCAAGCTCCCATTGTATCTGTCATGTGCAGAGTTGCAAAAAGTCACAGTTTATTAATAAAAATTAAAAATCTAATTTTTCCATCAAATCATGATGAAATTGACTTTGAAATCGCTCATTTTCATAATTTTTCCTTATTCATTCAAAATTAAAAAATCTCCTCGGCATCAAAAAAACTTACAATGTGTGGTTGAATCAATATTTACATTGGACTGATCTATCTTCTTTTTTTTAATACACCGATGAGTTATCTGCTTCGGCGACTTGTTTTTACAGCATATTGTCAAAAAAATTGCTAACTGGAAAAAAATAATAATAATCATCTCATGATATTCTCACCTTGCAAGGCACCGTGTGCGGCTGCCCGATCTTGTTGCCCCAATACCCCCTTCTCACGGGCACCACCGACAACTTGGCCAGGATGATGGCCCCCCTGATGGCGGTGGCCACCTCCTTGCTGCACTTCACGCCCAGCCCGATGTGGCCCTTGCTGTCCCCGATGGCCACGAAGGCCTTGAATCGGGTGCGCTGACCGGCTCGGGTCTGTTTCTGGACAGGCATGATTTTCAGGACCTGTTTTGGAAAATTGAAAACAAACCAAAAAAATCAATATTTTTAGTGGATTTTCGGGGAACACAAGGGTGTTGAGAGTGTGGTTCAGGATTCTTAGGCCAACATGAGAACAGAGTTCTTCTGGTGAAAACCGCGAAAGAATTAGGTCATTCATCATGATAAATATTCCAGTTGAGACACTGAGATCTGTATTTTTTATACATTTGAGTATGAAAAAATAAACAAAATGACATAGGTTTCTTGAAGACAATAGTATACATAGACACAACAATTGTGCTGCTCTCGATGGCCAGGAAGGCCTTGAATCGGGTGAACTGACCGTCTCGGGTCTGTTTCTGGACCCGCTTTAGGAAAAAAAAATCGAAAAAAAAAAATCAAGTTTAGTAGATTTTTGAAGAACAAAGTTCTGGTGACAACCGTGAAAGATAAAATGTTGTTCAGACAATGGGAACTGTATTTTTTCTTAAACATTTTGGTAGGAAAAACAATAAAAAGAGGATGCTAAATTTTTGGAATGAAAATATGTTTTCAATAACATCTGAAAAAAACTTCTGCAGATTTGAGGAACATTTTTGAAAATTGTTGTCATTAGAGCCTCTGTTAGTTTTTATGTAGAAGCATCAATGTTGTCACATTTTTAAATGAAGCTACTAGATACAATAATTATCACATACAATATTTTGGGCTTCTTTCTTTCATTATTAATATTATATTATCATCTTCCAGGCCCTCTCCTAAGGAGACAAGAGCTAGAAAACTGTAATTGTCCCAAAAATCTCTCATCTCTTACTCAATCAATTATGTTCTTCTACTTAGGTTTTTGTGGAAAAAAAAAACTAAGTATTAGGCTTGGAATTACTCAATCAAGAAAAAATAGTAATGTAATAGAATCAAAAAAGGCAAAATATTCCTCATTCTTATGTAAAAAAAAAACTCCATAAAATTTGTGAGAATCACTGAAATACACCAGTAATATCAAGATGTTATTAAAATGTTCATCTAGTTAGGTTTTTGTGGAAAAAAAAACTATTAGGCTTGGAATTACTGAATCAATAATCAATAGTAATGTAATAGAATCAAAATAGGCAAAATATTCCTCATTCTTATGTAAAAAAAAAACTCCATAAAAATTGTGAGAATCACTGAAATCCACCAGTGATATCAAAATGTTATTAAAAAATAAAAAAGATTTCTTCAAGAAATTCAACACCTTGGAATCATTGGAAGGAAGCATTTTTGATAACATGTTAATAGACATTTCATCAACTGAATTTATAAATGAACTCTGATCCATTTGATAGAAAAAAGAAAATGTCTGTGGATAGATTAGATTTTAGATGTTAAAGTGCAAATGAAGGCACTGAAGCTGCACCACCTTTCAGTGTGGCATTTTTATTTACTTTTGATTTCTGTTTGAATGGAGAAATATCTTGCCATTGTTTCATCAATAAAAATTGTACAATGCCTTGACTAAAAAAAATCAGTTTGGGTTAATTTTGATTTACCAGTTTTTTTTTCATTTGTTTTATGATAGATATATTATTTTAGTTCTTCTCAATTGGCTGTAAGCTGTTGTGGTTCTCAATTTTGTTTCTTTTTGGTGAACAATAGTTAAAGGCAAAGATATAATATATGATGAAGTCACATTCATACACTTGTATTTCATGCTGACATTTTACATTCCTATACATAAAAGCACTGAAATTTGTTATTGTGATAGTAACTTTCATTGAATAAAATTGAAATAAAAAAAATACATGTTCATCATTTTATAACATTATATTAAATTTACCAATAAGTAATTTAGAATTTGAAATAATATCTTTAATTCTCCAAGCATAAAAAGATGAAATAATTCAAAAATAATTCAACATTTAAGAATTAATATCCAAATTTCAATATACAGTGTCTTGAAATTGGCCTGCTAAACTTCAACAGCAGCTTTCTATGATCAAAAATAATATATTACCTCCATGTGATCAAAAGATTTGGTACAAGAACTAAACTATCCATGCCTAATGCAGTGAAGATAAAATCATTTCAAAATTTCACTCAGGAGTGTATAATACAGGGTGGATATTTATATAAATATATTATTTGCCACCCATGCATAGGTAATGACTATGTGCAATAAATGAGTACAAAACAAACTTTAAACATACTAGACATTAATGCAACTATTGCAGTTGAAAAATCATTACTGTATAAGGAAACAAACACATTTTCTTTGGAAGAGCACTTTTTAATCAATACTCTCAAAATTTCCTATTATATCATCAACAAAAAGCTTAAATCAAATTTTATATTAATCAGGAATTCCGAAATTCATGATCATCACACTAGACAATATAACTTGTTTCATCTTGAAGCTGCAAATTCTAAACTTGGACAAAAAAAGTTAACACATGAGGCGATTTCGAAATTCAATAATTTACCAGATGATATCAAAAACAGCCCAAATATTATGCAATTCAAAAATAAAGTTAAGAAATATATTTATATGCAAAGGAATGATCAAAGCTGAAAGACTATGAATTTCTTTTCTTTTTTTTTTTTCACTGTTTTTATTTTTCCCCTTCTTGTTCACTATAATATGACTGTATCTTAATGATATGTAAGTTTTGTTCACTATTTGTAATTTCAATTATACAACAGTCGATAATACTTCATGAATGATCTTATACAAGGAATTACTTTCTGATCATTCATGTCATTCCTACTAGAAAATTAATTATACTTTATATATTATTTGTATGAAATGTATCAATGAAGAAGAGAATGTAATGCAATAACTGAAATAAATAAATGAATAAATAAATAAATAAATAAATAATTACAAAAAAACAGCACTCACCTCATCATTCAAGTCAGACCCGATAAAATGATCAATAATCTCGAACTCCTTGATGGGCAAGGAGAACAAATAGATCTCCTCCAGGCTCCTGATCTTGCCGTCTTTGACCAGCCGACCCAGCTTGGTCACCGGCACCCACTCCTTCTGGTCCTCCTTGCCGCGCCCCCGCCCGCGCCCCCTGCCACGCCCGCGTCCCCGGGGGCCCCCTCGGCCGCCCCTGGCCCCGCCAAAACCGCCCCTGAAGCCGCCTCTGCCGCCTGCGCCACCGGCTGGAGCTGCGTCCGCCATTCTGCATGGAAAATGAAGGGGTTAGTAGTGATATGGCGGATATGAATTTATTTTGTTTTGGGAGAGTTATATCAGACATTCTTGGCCATCATTGAGACGGGTCCCTCTGGTGGAAACCGCGAAAGAAATGGGTTATTCATCATGTAAATAGGGACAGACGAAATACACCCACCAGTAAAAAAAATTGCCAGAATTGTTCACCTTCTAACTTTTATAATCCTTGCCCGATTCTTGTGAAATTTCATGTTCCGGAACGTTAGCATGAATATTAGTTCAAGTGAAAAGCTGATGACTGGTCACTATTTCACCCTTCATTTCTTAACGCCCTGTGGCGAAATTGGGTGGTTGAACTTGGTTTCATTATGTTTGGGATTGAAATGTGATCCTTTCTCAACACAATAGTTTTTGAATCACGTCAATATCTTATTTTTAGGAGATTTTTCAAATTTCATTAACCCTCATATTAACAATAATCAGAACCTACATAAACTCATTGATTAACAACTTGAAGAATCAATATCACATATTTCTACCTCTTTTTGTTAGCACTGACAGAAAAAATCTCAATTACAAAAACAAACAGAAAGCAGAACTGTATAATATAGTCAATAACGAGGCATTCCACCGTCATGGCATCGAGTTGATCAATTTCATCCCCAAGATGCTCAAGTTCTAAATTATTGTTGATAAAAATTTAAAAAATACTTTCTTAAAAAAGACTTGTATCTTCTCTTAAAAAGAAGATATTGGGTTGAACCTCGAACCATTGTGTTAAGAAGGAACGAAAAAGGATCACACTTCAATTCAAATTATGATAATGCAGAAGGTTGGAGAATAGTTCTGAATTATAGTTAACAGGAGTATATTTTCTTGAAAAATGACGAGAACCGAAAACCATTGTGTTAAGCAGGGATCACACTTTATTCCAAAACATAATTAAGCTCATCTCAACACTCACCTTTACCACAGGGCGTTGAGAAGTGGGGGGTGAAACTTTAGTTTTTCCCTGTATAATGATCAAGCCATCTTATACCTTATATCCAGGCTAACATTCCGAAACATGTATATACGATTTGGTCGTAATTTCACCGAAATCGGACAAGAATTTAAAAAGTTACATATGAAACACTTTGGAAAAATTTTTTGGTGTCCAGTTTTTTTGCCGGTGAGTGTATGTTATAAAAAATGTGATATTGAAAATGATTAAAGAGGTAGAGAAATCATTTTATCTCTAATAATTGTTATAATAGGTACCAGGAACTTCATGATATTCAACCAATACCAAAATCGACGCTAAGAATTCGCTCATGGCCAGAAATTTGTTGCATATCATTCAATCATTCAATTTCAGTAATTTTGAAACAGGCATATGGTCTGAAATGTCTGAATTTGTTCAGATCGCCTTGGTAAGCATAACAATTATCCATATGGTAATTATGGTATAAACCTGGCCAATGAATGTTCAAAGATTCACATTTACCAAATTACCAATAGAAGATGCAAAACAACAACAAAGGATTTTATTTGGAAGTCTGTTAAAAATTTGCTTCTCAAGGCATAACTACTCAATTTAAATGAATTTTTACCCAATTCAACTTCAAGTTTTTTCATCTACATCGTTCGTGTATTACATATTTTCTGTTCATATTAAATGTTATCGAATTTTTTATATCTTTATGACGAGAGTCGAATCGATATCAATATTTTACTTTTTTTTATCAAATTGTATTACTGTGTTTCTCACATGTGGCTTGGTCAATTAATATTCCTTTTTCTTGGCCATTAAAGCATAATTTGATTTGACGATTGAATAGTTGGATGATGAATAATAGCAAATAAATGTGAGTTCATTCAGAAATTCAATAGTTGAACATGGGTATTTCCAAGTAATTTTCATAATGGTCTATGATAATGGCTACCCAAGCTGCACGTGTTTGGAAAATAACAAATTCAATCATTCCGAAATTATTTCAAATGTAGATTTCGTTTACTAAGCGAATTGGTGAAAAGTTTTGGATTTGGAATAACTATAACTATAACAGTATAACTTCGGGGAAACTGAATAAAATAAAAATATGTACTTACGTATTGATCCTTTCTTCGCTGTTGCACACGAAAGAAAGAGGAAGTCAGCGAGAAATTCTTCGACCTCATGATTTTTAGAACGGAAATGACGGAATGAGGAATGACATATCGTTTGAGCATGCGCAGTAGTGAAATGTGATCGAAATCCCGAATTAACAGTATCCATAAACGGAACAAACTACAAACTAAAACTAGTGGTTGCTGTGGCTGAGTGCCTAAAAAAAAGAAGATAAAAGTTTCAGGCTTTGGGTGCACACTGTACTTTGGGTATATGACCTAGATGGGCTGTGCTTCATGGCTGTGCTGTACATAAACATAGGAAGAAATCCTTTTTGACATTTTGACCAAAAAGTGTGGTTATGAATAAATGTAAAATAAAAATAACACAAAATCAATATAATAAACAAACAATGAAATCTGTTTTTGATGAACTGAAAATTCGAAATAAATGGTACTATTATTAAATTAGTACCATAATTAAGAAAGTACCAAACCTGACACCTAGGAAGACGAATCTTTGCCCGTGCTAAGGGTAGGTACAAATTTAAATGGATGAGGGACACTCTCATGGCCAAGCCATAAGTAGAAACAGAAATTTCTTTACTAGAGAACAAAAAATTGTAACAGCCGTTTGGTACCATGAAAAAATATATACAGGCGTGTCTATGGAAGACATTTTATACAGCTTCATAGAGAGATTTAAAACGACTCCACCCCTAGAGTCAACTATAAGATACTGGGAGAGAAGACTGTTTCGTGAAGGTAACCTCAGTTGTGCCCCAGAGAATCGAATGTCAAGGAAAAAAACTTCATTAGCAAGATTAGTGCACATTCCATATGTCAAAGAGTCTTTTCGAATACATCCAACTATGAGCCTGGGAGATAGGGCCGATTTTTTAGGTATAGCTAACGGTACTTTAACACGTATTATCAAATTCGATTTGAAGATGCACACACCAGAGCTAGCTGTATCAGGTTCAAACAAAGAGCCAGAAGTTGAAGAAATGTCTGATGATCTCCCTAGTGATTGAAAATTTGGATGAGAAAAATGAAAAAATAAATCATGAATGTTTGTGAATTAACAAGTGAATTTAATGCATTAAAAAGGAAAAACAGCAAAACCTTCTTTGATTATTTTGAAACCTAATTTAATTTTCCCTCGCCTTCACAAATAATCTCTTCAATTTTTGAGGAGCATTCACAATTGCAAATTGCAAGCTGGCTAGGTCAAGGATTATATGACTACAGAGGCTAGGTGTCTACAGAAAAGTGAGAATGAAGAAAGAATAAGTGAGGTTATAAGTAGGATTCAGATCAGAGGAGAGGATTCAAAACTCAGATGATTCAAGAAAGAACAATGACCACAAAATCTATATACAGTTCATTGAGAAAGAAGTGAGATTTTAGAAATAAGAATGATCTGATAAAGCAGGAAGCTATGGACAGAGAAACGGACAGAAGCAAACTCCATGAAAGCCAATTTTCTGGCCCCACTCATTACAGTAATGAAATGAAAATTGTTGCAGCTGTTTGGATGCATGAAAGAGATATCAACTTGCAAACCCTAGATACTATCAAGAGGAACTTCCAAATTCGTTTCAAACTTCCGGCACCTAACACTAAAACTTTATTGGCTTGGGAAAGTAAGCTGTTTTCAGGGGGAATAATAAATGATAAGCAAGAGCACACTGAGGAGAATAGTGATGATCTTTCAGGAATACAGATCAGTGAAGAAGATGCAGATTAGAACTTAACTTTGAACTATTTTAATACCTATTCCAGGCTACCTTGATGTCTGGGGTCTCATATTTCTATTACATATATGGTTCCAGATAATTCAACTTGAAAGACCAACTAGTCAAAAATGCATTTATTTCACTTACAAATTAAAATACATCACATTCATTGCATTGATTAGTTTATGTTATCAGTTCTGGAAATTTAGGATATTTGGAAGGACAGGAACAAGGCTTGAAAAATAAGTATAGTTTAAAAACAAACAATGTACAAAAGTTTATTAAAATATATTTTTGAATAATTACCACTTTGCTCTCTTTCCCCAATCTTTTGGGGTCCAGTGCAAACATTTTGGGTCTATCCTGATTTTTCTGCTTTCCATAGCTCTGTGATGACCTACTGTAGTTTCTTTAGTAAGTGTTACAATGTACTGCCCTTTGTAGTAATTGATTAGGTTTAGGTTTTGTAAGGTTGAAATTACATCTTCCTTTTTTATGCTTGTAAGTTCACAAATTTCACTAAAAAATACATTCATTCTTTGATTAATTAAACAATAATTGTCAAATGCAAATGCACCATATTTAGATTTAACCATAGATGGAACTATGTACATGGAGATAGTTTATACTCATATTTTACTCAATTGCTCTCCTAGTTAATATTGGTCTTACAGTAATGTTCAAATGTACAAAAATGGAAGTAATTTTTATGGGTATTTACAGAGCTGAGCAAAATGCTCTGGAATCTCCAGAACCAAGCACTTTTATTGACAAAATGCTGGTGATTACTGAGCACTTTCAAAAAGTAATTTGAACAGGGAGCACAAGCTCCAAGCACTATGGATTTCTATCAACTAATGGCCCAGTCAATTCAAAAAATATATATTTGAAATCAGAAGAGCTCTATTATTTTAGAAAATCACATAAAGGGTGTTCCATTTGAAAAATACCAGTTTATGGACAATTTTCAGGTTTATGATGCTTTTTTGCATTTCCTAATGCCCATAAAAAATACTTAATCTTTGTCCATTTGAATTTCTGTTAGACCAATATCAACAGAGATAGCTATTGAGTAAAATATAAACAATCACCCTTTGAAAAGTCATAGAAATTGAGAGCTCCATTGAGAGTGTAAATCCTAACCTAAACCTACTTGATTGTTATCTGTGGTTTTTCATTTTCTCCAACTGGTTTCATGGAAAGTAATATTTCCAAAATGGTTTGAGCCCAATAACTCCTGTATGACAGAAGCCCTAGATCAGATAATGGTTTTTCTGGTGATCCAGTTTTACCCTCAAATTTAGATAACTCATAACCTGAAACAGACAATTTGAAGATTTATATCTAACATGAATAAACAAAAAAGATTTTCTTGTGACCAGAAGTGCAGCAATTAGGAAATATACTTACTAAATTCTATCAGAAGTTTTCCATATCCCTTCCTTTGGTAAGGTGGCATAGTTAAAATACATGCAACATTATAATCTTCTGTGGATTCCTTCTCTTTAGAAAAAAATCCTACTATATGAAACCCCCTATTATCAAACACAGTCATAACATAGAATAGAAATGGATCAGTGTCATAATACAGTGTTTTGTGGTCAAGAAAAAGTTTTGCTAGCAGACATAAATTTTGAGCATATACTTTGTTTTTCCTGCCATCTATCTCAAAAAAAGAAACATGTTCTTTTCTATAGATTTCATTCCCAGGAGGATGTCTGAGGTTACATTTGGCTAAGTGCCTTTCTAAGCATTTCCTGCTTTTCCTGTATTTCAGGCAGAATTCACATATGTAAATACATTCCAGGTTAACCATTTCCTGAAACATTGATTTTAACAATTCAAAATAGTTGATATATCATCCAGAACCATACTTGTGGGTAGGGAGCAAAGTACCAGGGTTTTATCCTGTGCTTTCCTAATTCTATCAATTCTATATTTTTCATTCTGGTTACAATATCATCATGATGTGAAACCATGCTGCCTGACTGCCTTGGGCCTGGTACTGCCATAGGAGCATCCTAAACATTTTCAACTCATGAATTTTTTTTATCTTAAATTATCCACTGGCTATTCTACCTGTGAATCTTCATTATCTAAGGAAGGTCCTTTCCTTTTTCTGTTGATACGTTTCTGTAGTGCTGCTGCCAAAACAGCATTGCCATTCAATAGTTCAGAATTGTTTATTGGACTTGAAGGCCTAGAAAAACCTCCACCACCTAAACTGATAGCTCCTAGACCACCACCTCCTCCAATCCCTATTTTTTTTGGAGTGGTTACACCTGTATTACTGCCTCCAGCAACATCTTTTCTAGGAAAGTGAACTTTTCTTGTATCAAGTGATTCTTCTGTTCTCCATTCATCCAAACGTTTATTGACTGAAATTGTTCTATGAAATCTGATAATTTTTCACATTCAACAATACTTACAGTCAACATAATGTACATAGTAACATTTGGCTCCATGGACCTCTTTGATACTAATGATTTCAGCTAAAGCTATAAGAACAATTTTTAACAACAGGTCAATTAGGGAAAGGATAAACAACTTACGCCAATCATTAGTTCCTGTCATATGCACAGGGAGTCTGCACCCCTCCACGAGAGAGGACTGCAAATAATTGAGGATTATTCATACACATTTTCTGGTAGATTGAGGCATGTAGATAACACAAACATTTTTTGGTACTTACTACAGAATCACATATTGTGCTGTCGTCCATGTCTTCCATTTCGACTTTCATTGGGATACTATTATATTTTGCAACGTCTATTTATAAATTAAATATCACAATATTTTACGAATATTTTTGCAAAATATAACTATATAAACATTACAACCTTCGTCCACCATCATCAGCACCTGGACCTCTGTCAATGTCAATTGTCAATACTCAATCTTCTTCTTCGGTTGGGTGGGCCTGTAATGTCAATACTCTCAGTCTGTCAACTTTCAGTGTCGATTAATTTTTTGTTCCATGTCAAAACCAACCAACGTGAAGTGGGCTGCCAAAGCTGGCTGCCAGAATTTCCGAACTTTTCCAATTGATCAGTGGCACGCGTTTCCTACCATTTTAGGTATCGTATATCGAAATTCCTCATTATCAGTGTTGTCAGTTGTGACGCAATTGCGCCAAAGTGGCCAATACGCCGGGCACAGGAAGTGGCGCTTCAAAATTCGAAATCCGCACCCGAATGGCCTCAAATACTCGATGCACATGAACAAGAAAAGAAGAACTGACATTACTTTCATTTGAAAATTGACGTTGATGAAAATTACATTGACAATGTAAGTGCCATGTTGGTTCTGTTCTTAAGGAGAAAAGGGGGAACGCGAGCCACTGGTCAATCGGGAAAGTTCGGTAATTCTGGAAGCCAGCTCTCTTCACTGTGCTTCTACTAACCTTGAGCTCAGGCAGCCCACTTCACGTAGGTACAACTGGTACAGGAAAATAAATACAGCATGTGAGCATGTCATGTCATTTGATGTCATTTGACTTCGACTGGTCGTCATATACGATTTTGAAAAAATCAACAATTGGTAAACCAGGTAAGGTAAGCGATTTGGTAATCTAATGTAATGGTAATGGTGAAATCCAAAACTAATTAAATCAATCAATGAACATTATAAATTTATCAGTATTATACTTAATAATGATGGGCTGGCCATTCAATCAAGTGAAATAATTGTAAATTGGTCAATCTGATGTGAAAAATCGTTTTTCCACCACTAGGTATGGAACCTACCATTATTTACTGCTTTTGAAGGCCTAATAAAGTGTGTTTATACTATACCTAACTGTCCAACCCAGATAAAAACATGAAAGCCACTCCTGTTATAATTAACCCGACTTTGCGAGAGAGAGCAGTCTATATTATTTCTTCAAAATGTGCAATCCTGCTGAAACTAGAATAGGATTTTGAGAAAAAAACGTGGCAGGACTCCAAATTTTGATGTACCTTTACTTACTTCCAAGTAAACACAGGATATCTTATGGATATCCATATGATGTCCATGCTTGGTCCATATATGGTTCCCTCTATATCTCAGCCATCAGTCATGCGATCTTTACCAAATTTGTATCCTTATGAATAATCATCAATATGACCAGTTCTTCAAAGATCATTTTAGACAGTGCCGTGCATTTTTATATTTAAATGAATATAGGGGTCAGTTTTTTATTGAATCATATTAGGCATTTTTTCACAGGAAAACTGACCTCAAAATATTGTTCTTCATATGGTTTCAAACCCATTTTCATAAGATGTCTATGAAGGTTTTCAGAAAAACATGCACATCTAAACAACATTTTTGCGAACGTAATAATTATTTACTCGGAAACGGTAGGAGTTCATAAAATATTAGAACTCGTTTTTCCTTCCAAATCATGATTTTCCACCTACCGGAGCCATTGAACATTCCAAAATTCGTAGTTGATTTGAAGTCACTATTTATTCGAGACTGAAAATGAAAGAAATGAAGCCAATCCTGTTAATTCGGAATTGGGTGATTTTTTGCATATATGGAGGTTCGAAATTATGAGGAACAATAATATGAGGTTAGATTTCCTGTAAAAAAAAATGCCTAATATGATTTTATGAAAAATATACCCCTTTTTAGTTCAATAAAAACGCACGGCACTGTCCAAAATAATGTGCATCTCTGTAAAACTGATTATATTGATGGTTATTCATGCCACAACAAATTTGGTTGGAATCGCATGACGAATCAATGCATCATACTTGGGGTCTAGCAGGAATGATAACAGAGATATAGGGTGTTCAAAATCGAGATTTTTCAATTTTGGGATTTATTTGTGTCGAAACTATTCATTATCGATCAAAACGGTTTACATGTCCCTATCTCAACTTTCGATCCACTGTCTACTGACATTTAATTGGAACAGATACAGGGTGATCAGAATTCTGAATCTTGAAGCACCCTGTATTTTTTCCAATTAAATTCCAGTAGATAGTGAATCAAAAGTTGAAATAGGGACATGTACGCCGTTTTGATCAATAATGAATAGTTTCGACACAAAAAGATCCTAAAATTGAAAAAATAATCTAGATTTTGAATACCCTAAATCTCTGTAATCATTTCTGCTTGACCTCAAGTATGATACATCGATGAAATCAGCTCCTCAGGAAGAATCTAAAAATGTAATAAAAAACAGGGTGTTCCTTTTGAAATAACAAAGTTGCTAGTTGTTTCTGATAGAAGTGGCAACACTGTATCGATGAGAACATTTTAGACAAATAGAGAATGTGCAATTATGGAAGCATCCCAATTTTCAGAATGTTCTGTCTTTTCGTTCTCCAGATACTTCTAATAGGCCATCCACCGTGACTCACCCTGTAGAGGGGGGCCGTATTAGTACTAACTTTATACAGGATGTATCTATATAACACCGAAAAAATTCAAGTTCATATAAACATGTGTCTTAACTTTCTCCGTTCTCGAGATACAGGATGTTGAAGTTGGAAGTATATATAAATTGTTTTTATTTATAACCCCCCTGTGTAATAAGCTTTCAAATTCCAAATAATTATAATTGGGGTTGGGTAATCAAAATGGAAGTCTTGAAAACACGCCTACATAAAAATTTGGAGTCAAATCGAATTTTTATTGTCTTCTCAAAAATTAAGCTAGATACATAAATTACACAAAGGATAAAAAAGTTGTTATTTCAATAGTTCTTTCTAATAAAAATATGAATCTCAGAAATACCAGTGGCGTACAATGACATTCGCCATAAATATCGATAAATTTACCCACTGTGACGACACTGGATATATCAACAAAACCACAAGGTCTTATTGAAATTGATGGAAAGACAATTGAGTAATGAATAAAAAAACGATTTTCCATGGAAATATTAATACCCTGTATCTCGAAAACGAAGCAAATTAGGACACATGTTTATATGAACTTCATTTCCTAAAATAACACAAGGAATCACCACTTGAATTTTATCGATGTTATTTAGATACACCCAGTATAATGTGTTTGTCCAGTTAGAAACTGTTCAAATGTGTAAAAAGAAATAGAAAATAAATGAATTCCAAGTGTGCTTTATAAGATCGCGGGTTCGTATCCCGTACGCCGTACGCCACCATTTTTTTTCACTTTCAAGATATGCCATATCACCTGAATCTAAATGATCATACATTGGATGGCAAATGGATATCCATTGGATGTCCCTCTGCACATTATCGGACGTCCAATGGATATTCCTAATGTCCATTTTGGGTATCCATCGGACATACATTGTTTGTACGTGTGTTATATGGGTTATGGTGAAAGAATCCATTCAAGATTCATTCCTGGATTAGTCCCTTTACTTTTTTATTCACAAACATCTTTCATCTCAAAAACGTAGCATTTCACTAGCCATGCAATTTATTTGTGAGAAAAAAACGAACTCAAAGTCGGTCGACCACAATATTTAATATAAAAATAATCAGCGTGTGACTATAGTTTCGGCTCTAAGACCATCTTCAGATACAATGAAAAAAGTACCTCTTAGGAAGAAAACATTTTAACAATATAAATAATTGATTATCTGGTCGTTATAACAAAGGATCAATCCAGCCTCACACTCAACAAAATTTGTTACGGCTATAAAGCCAGAAGAACTTGACTTTAGTAAGTTTAGCATCGGGAAAAAATGGAAATATAAATTTTTGAAAATCTACTCAAATGAGCTTCATCTATGATGATTTGTTATAACGACCGGATAATTAATTTTTTATATTGTTAAGATGTTTTCTACATGAGTGGTCGTAATTCTTTCATTGTGTCTGAAGATGGCCGTAGGGCCGAAACTATAGTCACACGCTGATTATTTTTATATTAAATATTGTGGTCGACCGACTTTGAGTTCGTTTTTTCCTCCTGTTGAAAAATACTGGACCACTTTGAGAATGGATAGTTTCATTAGTTTCCATATGACTCAATTTATTTGTAAATCGAATGTTCATTTTAAAATTAGATCTTTTCTGGTCTTTTAATTATTGTCAAAATGGCAAAGTCATATTATGCTAATAATGTAAATAATATTTGTTAATACCGAGGTTAATACTTTTCAAATCTCCCTTATCAAAACATATCTTACAGGTTATGGAACAAGGTCAGATGTTATCATAAAAAGTCTACATATAAATTGAATAATGTTCTTTAATCAAATCTACATACTATGGTTCAGTATAGATAGCCACAACTGAGGCTTCAACATCCCCATATAATGGAGAACTATACTTCAAGCAGTAGTGATGAAGAAAATAGTTACAAAGTGATTGATTATGCCTATCTGCTCCTGGACCCTGATTCTGTTGAAAAAAAACTACAAGAGTATTTGGAAGACACAAAAAGTGCTAAAATCGAGAAGCTCATCTTACATCACAATCGACTCTGTGAGTTACCACCTAACCTGACCAGATTTTTCAACACCAGAGTTCTTGATATCAGCAACAATGGCCTCACTACATTACCCAATCTACTAGAATACCTACCTTTGACTACCCTCATTGCCAAAAACAATCTGCTCACATGTAATTCGTTGCCTAAAACATTCACAAAATGTTCGAATTTGAAAGAGTTGAATTTGAGCGGAAATCAAATTACACAGTTTCCTGAGCAGATTCTGGAGTTTGTGAATCTGAAGTTTTTGTATTTGGGTGGAAATAAAATGCAGCAAATTTCCAGAAATATATGGAAATTGAAAAAGTGAGTAGTAAATAATAAGTAATATGTTTTCATTAATATACAGGGTGTTAGTGAATAAGTGTGACAAACTTCAGGGGGTTTGTCCCGTGTGATAGTTTAGAAAATAAAGTTTATATAAACATGACTGTGTCCTAACTTGCTTCGTTTTTGAAATACAGGGTATTAATATATCCATGAAAAATAGTTTTTTTAGTCATTATACTCAAATGTCTTTTTACCAATTTCAATGAAACTTGGTGGTTTTGTTGAGTGAAACATGGAGCTTCTTTTGATGTGATTGAATTCAAATTAATATTTTTAGTGGAGTCACAGTGGGTTAATTTATCGATATTTACGGTTAATATCATTGTACGCCACTGGTTTTTCTGACTTCCATATTTTTATAAGATTGAAGAATTGAGATATCAACTTTCTTATCCTCTGTGTTTTTTTTTAATCTTGCTTAGTATTTGAGGAAACAATATCGATTTGACAAATTTTAAAGTAGGTGCTCTCGAAACATTCATTGAGATTACTCAATAACCTCAAAAAGAATTATGTTGACATTTTGGGACTTTTTCGGTCTCCAACCATATACTGAATTTTGGCACCATGAAAGCTTATATAGGTACAGGGGCGTTATGAATAAAAAAATTATTACTTCCAACTTCAACATCCTGTATATCAAAAACGAAGCAAGCTAGGACACATGTTTATACGAGTGTTTAAATGAACTTTATTGCCTGAAACATCACAAGGAATCATCCCCTGAAGTTTGTCGCAGTTCTTCACTAACACCCTGTATATTTTCATATTCACTAAATGATGAAATATCTCAAAACTCAAGTCAGATCCAACCCTTACTGAATTTTCATCAGAAACGTTCTTAGGCAACAGGTGATTAATGTCCTATCAATATACAGTGTGACCCATTTAAGATGGAAGCACCCTTATAAAACTTACATTTTTCAACCGATTGGAATGATTTTTTTTTTGTTAGGTAGATATTCAAAAAGTCTATTAGGACACCAAATATCATGAATAAATCTCCATTTCCAGGGCCAACTAATCTGATTTTTCAAGGTCAAAAATCTAAAAAAATTACTAGCGATTTTTTTAGAAAAAACCTGACTACACCACTGGATTTGTGACATTTTCAAATGGGTAACATGTAAATTACGTTGAAATGCGTCAATCAATAAAAAAGTTATAAAGGAATGAAATTTGAAAAATATGCCGTTTAATCAACCCACCAATTCATGTTCAGGAATTTTATGAAAATTCTGTATACTCCACTGGATTCAGGATGTCTTGAAATATTACTGATCACAGTTTCATCGAAATCTGTTCAGTAATAAAATTGATTAATAATGGCGAAATAATGGTGAATAATGGCCCTCGGCTAGCGCCATCGGGCCATTATTCACGCCACAGGCCATAAACGCCTACTTTACGCCCTTGATACATAAATAACTATTTTGTCTGAATAAGGAGAATGCAAATTCTCGATTTCAGAAGATTTTATAATTTATTTTCAAACTCTTATCGTGTGCGCTCAATATATATAATTCAATGTTCGTCGTGGCATATAGCCAGGAAAGTAGTTGTTTTCTGTTTCCACCGGCCACCGTTTCCCAGACTCCCGCGTATACTGTTGAAATTTAGGGTTTAGGAAATATTCTTTGCTCGAGCATAATACACCTCAAAATGCTAATATGGTCTTGTTACTAGTGTTCACGAAATAATCATGCCAAATACCCCTCTCCCCCAAGTGTAGGTAAATTTATTTCAGTTTGCAGATGGTTTCATTTGGAGGTAATGAATTATCAGAAGTGCCGACCACTTTAGGACAACTACACAATTTACAAGCCCTAGTACTATGTGATAATCAAATCGAATGTCTTCCTTCCAATATAGCCAATTTACACAAACTGAAGTCGTTGCTTTTGCACAAGAATAAATTGAGAACACTTCCACCTGAGATTATTGCTCTGAAAAATTTGACAGAGGTGAGAAAGAACACAATTAGAGTATAAAAATCATTGGAGCTAATCAGATTCAAGAATTTGCTTTTTCTAAAATTCTTTCTGTTATCTGTTAAAGCCGTAGAAAAAGTATAGTGTATAACTCGCACGGAATGCTAATTTTCCACTCGTATGATTTGCGGAAATAACAATTATTCCTTGCTTGTCAAACAATATATGATTTTTTGTTTTAGTTGAGTCTTCGAGAAAATCCTCTCGTAGTCAGATTCGTTAGCCAAATGAGTTATGATCCTGCTAGCCTCTTGGAGTTATCAGCCAGAGCTGTAAAATTACATGAAATACCATATGGAACTGAAGATATTCCAGGGACTCTTTTCAAATACATGGATTCTGCACATCACTGCGTCAATCGACAATGCAAAGGTAACAAAAAGTTGCGATTGCAAAACAAATAATAATACCAAAGAAATAACGAATTATTTTTCAATCATGACAAAGAAGAGTTAATATTGTTATATGTCTTGCAGAAGATTTGTTTTTATGTGAGGTTTTTCTTCCTCACTCAAATATTTTTCTCTGACAATAGTGCATTCAAGTAGGACTTTTACTGCTTATAGGCAAAAAAGTTAATTTTTATTGAGAAGTAGTAATAGTTATTTTTGTATCTAGTGCGCGAAATGCTACTTTGGTGATCGAGATCTGCCACATAAATTATTATGGAATGAAATATGAAAAAGTAATTGTATGAATAGTGACATTCTGTTACCTGTCAACAGATATCAAATGTCAAACTTTTCAGGTAACAGAAAAAAAAAGTCTTATTGGGATCAAAACTGTCACTTCGACAAGCCAAATTTGCGAGTCAGAGAAACTTTTGATCCAGATGAAACGTTCCATTTTTTTCTGCAACGAAAATTTAAATCCTGTGAAAACTTTCCTTGCTTGTTATTCGTGTATACAGAAGTGCACAAAAAACGACCAGGACTGTAACTTTTGAATTATTCGAGATAGGGTTTTGAAAATTGGTGGGCAGCTAGTACATACATTATATTACATTTTTGAATGGGACACACCCCGTATTGTATTCCATAATCGGTTAGGGATTACCATAACGAAATCATCGATTCCGGGTTTTGATATAACCATGATACTAAAACCAAGAGAAGGTAAGCTGACGCGCATATTCATTTCCTGTCTCTCTCGCACCGCGATGGTTTTTTTTACTTGTGCTGTGGTGGGTTGTTCCAGTAACAACAATAAAAAGAGCGAAAACTACCAGTTACCAATTTTTCACTTTTCCAAAATCCAAAGAAGTTTGCAATGTATGGGTTCAGAAATGTTACCAGAAGCATAAATTCGATATAAACACTGCTAGAACATGTTCCCAGCATTCTTCAGATGATGATATCCAATTGAGAAAAAAACTTTTGAAATTATCAAAGAAAAAATGGAAATTGAAACTGATGCTATACCTTCACTTAACCTCCCAAAAACACCAAAACCTAAAACAGAATTACAGGAGAATCGTGATAGAAGAAATGAAAAGAGGTTTCTGAAAAAAAATCGTGCATTACGTGTATTTTATACTTATAAATGCGGGTATTTTTATTCATATTGTTTTAGTTTGAGCTCATTGTAGGGTTACAGTACTTTGAAATATTCTACTGGGATTTAGATTTGTGTAAAGTTTGGTTTTAGTATCATGGATATAACTATTTCAAACGATTATGCAGATATTCGCGTTCCAAGTTTCCATAATTATGCTCAATGAGTGTGACAGAGAAAGAAGTTTTGATATTGTGAACTCACACCCATTGAGCATATGGAAACTTCGAACGCAAATATCTTTGTAATCGTTTGAAATAACCGTATCAAACGCGGTATCGTTGAATTTGTCATGATAATCCCTAACCGATTATGGAATACAATACAGGGTGTCCCATTTGAAAATCAAAAGTTGTGGTCGTTTCCGGTGAAACTGGAAGTGATTCATCAATCAATGAGCAATTTGGTATACTTGCTACCCACCAATTTTCAAAACCCTATCTAGAATAATTCAAAAGTTACAATCCTGGTCGTTTTTAGTGCACTTCTCCTTATATTATATGAAGTGTTGAACATGCCACCCCTGCAAAATCTACCTAACAAAAAAATAGTTTCATCAAAATCGATTGAAAAATAATGAGTTCACGAAAGTGGTTGTCCAAAATAATATTTTCATATTTGAATGATACTTTTTTTTTTAGGTGTCTACTTTGATAACAGAGTGGAACACATAAAATTCGTTGATTTCTGTGGGAAATATCGAATACCCCTGTTGCAATACCTATGTTCCTCAAAGTGTGTCAACACTAAGAAATTGAGAAGAGATGATATCCATGATAGGCCATCTAGGTCTTATATGATGAAGAAAGTATTATTGGGTTGAAAAAAATGTATATAATCTTACATATTTTATTAAGTTTGAAATTACAATTCTAGATCATGAACTGGATGTTTGTTGAATGCCTTTGTATTGTTGTATCATATTTTATACTGTGCCATTTAGGCAATGACTGCTGAATGAAAATAAATTTTAAATCGAAATGTGTGATTCTTTTTCGGCAACACCACCATTTTTTTATAATTTTGCAACATGGTAATACATGTTATTTACATTTTGAATGTCAATATTATGTCAATATGGCATTGATACGGTCACTAGTGTGGATATGGATTTCATTTGACATTAGTGTCAAATGGAAAAATGCTTATTTTGTTTAAAATGATTTAAAGGTATAGAAGTTCATCTTTTATGAATCACACAGTTGTATCTTCATTGACTATCAAATTTCGCCAAGTTCAAAAGTCATATTGCGTTCAATAATTTCGCAGTGATTGTTTTTATTCAGATAAAACAAAATTACTGATAAAAAATTTTGATTAGACCTCCGAGAATATTTCAAAATAACATAAACCATAACCTATTTCGGGAATTCAAAGGATGATGTAATATAGTTTTATGCACCTTTCACACGTCAACAATTCTTTTCTTATTTCAAAAATTAAAATTTTCCTTGAACACCCTTGAAAACTAACCTGTAAATCAGTAATTATTGCATATTTCGACTTGATTGGTAAAATATCATGTTTTTAGTCGATTTTTATTTCTCAATTTGGAATGTTATATTTTTCTACCTATGAACAATAACTTGCATTGCATTACAATTTTAAAATGAAACAACTTACTGATTTCACGTTATTCTATCTTTTATTAGAACTAGATTTTCAAAACCTAATTGTTTGAAAATGAAATTAATTTTTCTAATTAAAATTCACCAAAATCAATAGAAAAAATAAAATAAAATGCGCTTTAAAATATTTGATATGTTATATTTGACTTTCTACTCTAGAGCATTTACTTTAATCACAAAAAAATATACCTTTAACAATTGATAATGTCATTTAATTTAAATAATATATGTACAATTAAAAATTATATGCAATTACATGTTAAACTACAATACAATACATCCATTGGGCAGGTGCTAACGTCTTGGTAAATATCCAACAGAATTCAATAAAAGAATACTACTAGCGTAGAAGTCACAAAAATGTCAATTTAATCATCAAATTTCTCTCATCGAACATATGTTAATTAAATCACACACTTTTATATACACAACTGTTTTTTTTTTCTTCATAAAAAAATTAACCATAAACGTACAAGAAGTGCACAAGAATGGAATTTAAACTATTTAAATTCTTCTACTTCCCATTTTCTTACGAGGCGTGGATTGTGAAGAGTACCAATAATCTGAACGCATTGCACTTTTTCGAAAGCTATTAACGATGAATATTCCTAAGTAGTGGATTTTCCTCGCTCTGTTATTTTTTCTCTAAAGCATTAAGCTAGAAGTACACACGAGTCTGGAGTATATAATTTTAAATAATGATCTTGTTACAACCTCTTCACTGGCTGAGAGTTGTCCGAATTTCCTATCAGGAGCACTTTAATTTTTTCACCAATATTCAGCCAAGAATAAAGGACCAGTACCAGCAAAATGGAGTTTATAGTAACAACTCCTTTGAGTGAGCAAAGAAAAAATCAAGAAATAGTAAAATTATCATCCACGTACTTTGGCATAGTGGGGTTTTTCAGAAAGTTACTTTTTAAAGAAGAGCCAAAGATTTTTCTTAATTCTCAAAAAAATTAGGGCATTTGGTAGTGCTGTTCCGAAAAACTAATTTGGCAACTTAGGGGCCTTGATGCCAGATCACCGTCTCATGCTATAAAACAAAATTTTAATAACTATTTCAAAACTCTGTAATTTTCAGTAAAAATAACAACTCGTTCAACACAATAACAGAAGCTGATATTTTTTTTAAAGAAAGTTCATTCAAATTTTAATGTGTTTATTGTATTACAAACTCATTGTTTAAATCCGTCAGGAGACATGATTTTTATCTAATTCGGATTGTTCGGAGATTTGTGTTATGAAAATTAAAATGTATAGTACCTACCGGTCAGAATTACGCACTGAAATAACCAATACGTCAAACTGACATCAAGGCACCATAACTTCCCCTAAATTATAACTGGACTATCAATATCTTTTAAATTTCTCAAAGAAAATCACTTTCCAAACCCTCAAGCATCGGTGATGCAGATTCTAGCCCACTTTTAAATAAAAAAAATAACCAAAGTAAATTGAATATTTTCAATAAACATAATCTCAAACTTTCTACGATCAACAGACTATAATTTTCTCAGTAAATTCAATTGAATCTGATGAAAATTGGCAGTACGTACAAATCGAGGAAATTACAACTTTATAATGAACGTGTTTTGCTAATGTTTTCCTTGCAACTACGAGAAATGTACACTAAACACGTCGAAATCTCCCTACAGGCTTATCCACAATGTGTGTGTTTTTAGAATTTTGTTCCGATAAATAAGTTTGATTTTCAGAGTTTTCTGAGTCATACCTCTACTCAACGGCTAAACAGAATGATCACCCTCTAGATGTAAAACCACAATAAACACAGTGACTGAATGGACAAAATGAGTTCAAATTTTCCTTTGAATAATCACCACGAATATAGGTCTAGTGCCTTTTTTGTCTTTAATAATTGTAACACAACAAATCGATACCAAAACGAATAACCTTAAACTTATCAACACCAAATTTTAAATAATTGTTAAAAGTCACCTATAATATACAACAGTGAAAATTGATAATAAAAAGTTCTAATAACTTATGAATTTTTCTGTCGAAACTTCTAAGTTTTATTCTCTTTTATTTTATATCGAGACTAACAATATAAATATTACAGCTAATTTTCCTCTTTATTATTGAAAAACCTGGTATCATACAAGTATAAATAAAATTGATTATTATCAGGACCGAAATCATCCACGTTAAAATACATTTTACACAATAATATGGAAACAATACATTCCCAAAAAATATACAAAAAAATAACTCATCGAATATTTCAACAAAAATATATACACAAACGCTGATTTGATGCTTGAATTTCCTCTGATTTCCACTGATTAAAACCACCAGATTTTTCAATATTCGGACTCGCCTGCGATCGATTGACAAAAACCTTCCGACATCGAATTGGCATGGTAAAAATCAATATATTAAAATGGGGGGGATTGGGGTGGGCATTCGGATACAAAATGCCAGTTTACAGGATGTTCCAAAAATAAGTATACTCCAAACTGACTACCATGATTCTCCTCTAAATTCTAATATATTATTATAATATCGGATTCAGGCGAAGTACCAATAACAAGATTCCCTTTCAATCGACAGTTATTTTCAAGGTCAAGTGGTTAATTTTTGAGATCGCAACAAATTGGGACATGCAATGATCTCTCAAATTTTGGTAAACTCTTGATTCTTTCTTCCGATTTCTATATCAGGTTTTTCGTTGTTTTGAACAAATCATTCCCTAAAACTCTACTTCGACAAACTGTCACGTGACCAGTGGTATGGCGGCCAAATCAAGTTAAAATCGCAAAAAGTCATGTTAGAGGTATGAACTTCTTTACTATCACAGTAAGCTGTGAAATTTTTTCATACTATAATGAAATTTGTCATACTTTTTATCGAATTGATATAATGCTGGTAAACCTTCACCTTCATAGCACTGCAGATGCAGATGAAAAGCAAAATTTTCGGAAAATGTGTTTTTTTTTTCTCTCAATATTCATAGGTATTGAAATAAAATATTTAAAAAACTTGTATCCGTCAGTTACAAAGATTTATATATAAGAAAATTATTTTCAATGGTTAAGATGAAAAACACTGTCAAGTTTTGTTTATGAAAAATATCCAAAATCACATATTGTTGAAAAGTTTTGGATTTCAGGTTATTATGGAATTTTGAAGATTCAGTGGAACTCCCATTTCGGTGGGAAAATTATTGAGAAAAATTGCATATCTCCAAGACTTCCTAAATATTTCCCGGTACGTGTTTCTCAAAAATCCACTCCTAGAGTACAACCAGACTAACCGAAAGAGGTAAATTATCAGACTTACCACCCCCAAAATAAAATTTCGCACCGGAATTTTCGGTTTCGCTCTATTGAGGCGAGAAACCCGATCGGTCTACACTCTTTTTTGGTTCACCCTGTACACACGCACACACACCAAACAGTGATCAAGTTCTGTACAATGCACGTATATTAATTGATAATATTTCTATAGTACAGCTGTCCTTTCTCACACACAATCACTAAATATAATAATGGGAGTGGAAAAAGAAATTCTTGATTTCCACTTATCAGGAATATTGATTTTTTGAGGAATAATAAAGCCGTTTCCTTCAGTTTGGTTTCCGCCTTACTAAAATCGCACTGAGAATGAATATTAAAAAACTATAAAGAATAAGTGACTAAAAGTGTATTATATTTTAATAAATTTCTTGTTTCGTTTTCCTAAATTAATGAATTCATGATCGGAATGACGAAACATGCATTAACCAACAAATTTTCCTGATTTTTTTAGAAAAATTCATCACCTCATAATTTTCAGGAAAATTTTGCTTTCAAGAGATATTAATTCTTTACCATCGATTTCTTACCTGTGGCTTTCTAGAATACCAGTTGTGGGTTTCTCTCGGACTATGTACAACATTTTTGACACTATGCAGCGTGAAAACTTTCACCAGTTGAAAATATTTGAAAAAATTCAATTGTTTAAGACCAAGAGAAAAAAGGGATACATTTTTCAAATTTTCCATTAGAAGTTTATGAAAAAATATTCATAAATGGTTCCTTTTGCTTGATAATCAGATCTAGGTGAAGGTACAGGTCGTAGTTCCACTCTGTATATGTTTTCAGTGTTGCCTCAATCAGTTGGTGATCATTTCAGAAAAAAAAAACCTTCCGAGAACACAGTTGTTTTTTTTTTCAATTTCAACGCGAGTAATCTGCAGAACTTTCGAACCACCCTGTATAAGCGGAAACCTACAATTTCTTCCTCAACCCCACCAAATCGAGGAGACACTGAACGTTGTATCACGAACGACTTTCTAGGCATGCGCGAGCCAATTCTGTATTGATGGTTTTTCCTTGATATTCATCCATTTTCTTCATCAGGAACAAAAAAAATGGTGGAAATAATTTTTAGGTATTTGAAGTTTTTACTCAGAATATTCATCTCCTTACAAAAATAAACGTGAAAATATTTTCCGAGGGAGTGATCTTGTTGAAGTTTTTTCCTCAAATTATTAATTTTCTTAGGAACATTCTTGAATCATTTTCAGGGGGAGGGACATAATATGGAAAATTTTCTTTTTCTTCCCCAGGAATGAAATACAAAAAAGGTTTAAATATTCATTCTTTGGGGGAAGAAGTAGAAGTATTTTTTAATATAAATTTCGTTTATCATGAAATTGGGATATTAATTCATTGAGGATGTAACTATATATTTCCATAATTTTTTAAACCAGGAAAACATTATGATAGATTTTTTCCACATAACTTATATCCTTCCTTTGACAAAATGTCAACAAATTAATTTTATGAGGAAGTTCCCATAAACATATTATGTCATAATTTGATTTGTTCAAGACATTTCTTATCCAATCAGATTTTCAGTGGTGTTGTGAGTGGGACTTTTTAATAAGAAATTATTCTTATTAAAAAGTGAGCAAAAAAGGAAAATTTACAAATTTCATATGATACTATAAAAGATCATTTAATTTAGTACAAAGAACCACTGTTTTCGAGAAAAAACGGAAAAAATACTCAAACTTTTGTTGTAAATGCCAAATACTCCGTAGAGGACATCCATCCAGTGAACACACTAAATTTTGCCATTACCAAAAGCTAAACAGGGTGGACCAAAGAAGATATGCAGGTACATGACGATCAGTATATTTTCAGAGGAAAAAAAAAATAGAAAAGAGCATTAAAATATGGTATAACCATCATCAAATAACAGGGATGATGATTTTTAGGGATTAGAATTTTTTTGGGATACATTTTTGTTTCGAATATTAAAAAAAAATTGATGATGGCTCCACGAAGACGAAACGTCGGATCCCAAATCTATTAATACCATTAGATAGAGCGGAAATTGTGGCAATGATAATATGAAACTCATTTTGTCATCACTTCAAATAAAGTCAGAAAATAGATATTTATGATACAAGTATCATAAAGACAAAATAGTTAATATTCCATGAATTAACCATTTATTAGGAATATGTTACAATCACACGTTGCCGTGTATCTATTGTTTTTGGATGTCACTTATTCTGCAAACTGTCAATTTTGACGCGTTCATTTCAATTTGAGAAAAAAAATCATCAATATGAATTTCAATCAATTGGGAATGTATAGATTTAGATAAACAATTGAAGCAATTCAAACTTCATTACCTGATGCTATAATTACTTCTTACTTTATTTTTCTGAGTAAAAAACTGTTTTTTTTTACTTTACCGCACTAGTGTCGTAATGTTTCACATTACATATTGTTAGTTGGTGAAGATAAAAACGAAATCGCGGATATACGTTTTTTTTTTTAATATCCAAACTTTTGAGGCGGCATTTTGATCAGCATCAATTCGCGCAACTTTACCTTAATCTAACCGACTTTGTATCTGTTGTGGTAACCGACATCCCAATGATACCCCTGTATATTTTCAGAGGGAGAAAAAAATTGAGAAAAATAGCATTAAAATATTTTTCGATGCAGTAAGTTAGGAAAGAAATGAATCTTCTGGTAAAAAATTCCAATACGTTATATCAAAGGATTCTTTTCGCCTCCAATACTGAAAGAAAAAAAACATTTCCGATAAAAAGCGAACAAATAAACCCGCTCGCGCATGCCCGCAATCCAACCGCGCGACCCGCGTTCATCGAAAACGAAACCGAAGGAAAGTGGGGGGAGGGGACAGGGGGCGGGGCCAGAGGGCCGGCCGACCGCCTAAGCCAATCCGGAGGCGGCGGCCGCCTGCAGGGCCGCCGGCGATTGGTCGGCGGGATCCGCGGAGGCGGCGCCGTCGGCAGAGGGGGAGGGGCCGTCCTGCGCCGCCCCTCTCGGCATCAGGATGCTGTTCAACGACGGCTGGATGCTCAATTCTGGAATGGCAATGATGATAATGACAGGGGTGTTGTAAGAAAGCTATTATGGATAGGTTTTTATCATTCATTAGAATATCCAATGAATCCTATGCTCAAAGAAAAAACAAAATACACAAACGGGTCGATTCTGTTCAGATCTTGTTGTAACATTGCTAAGATAACAATATTGTTAAGATCATAATGTATAGCAATATTGCTAGGCTATTCTGTATTCTGTTATTTGGACAGAAACTGCAAGATTGGTTATGAGTTCAAGTGATAGCAATATTGTTGAGAATTGGAGAATTTTTGAGCTGCCAACACCGTTTCTAACTCATTCGTTAAGTAATAGGTAACGTTATTGACATTATTTTATGGAGAAGAGTTTATATCCAACCTCTTGAATTAGTATGTCGTGCACTGACATTTTTCAACATTAAATTATTCAAATTGAGAGATTTTTTGTATTTGCTGAATTTGGTCTTCGTTTTGCAAGTGATGCAAGTAATCAATCATGTCCCCGAAATAGGAAAACAACCAAAAGACGGACGGAAATGATCGTCAATTTTTTTGGAAAAAAACCCGATTCATATTACCGGGAAAACTCACCTTGCAGGCTTATTCAAGCAAATCGTTTGATAATCTTTCCATCAGGCAAAGGATTTGCCGGTTTCTCTGATGATATGCCGAAATTGTATTCTCATATAAATTCTCTACAAATTGAAACTTCAAGGAAAGGTTTGAAACATCAACTAAATTATAATGAATTTAAGATTTAAACGATTTTTAAATTGAAAATATATGGGTGTTCATGCAATAACCTTTCATCAGCTGTTTATTCATTTTCCAGCGCGGCTAGTTATTATTCGGCGCATGCGTTGTCGTGAATTATGGAAGAAATTAATTTCTTAGTTGAATGTTGGCCATCTTTCTTTGTTTTAATTTTTTAGTTTCTTGCATGAGCACCTACATTACATTTCATAGTTTTATATTATTGGTTTAAGTTTAAAATTCATTTAAAGTTTTAAATTTTGCTTGCATGAATCCACCTTTAATGTTTTTGTATGAGTTGTATCTAGATAGCCTGAATCTTCCTTACAGGCCAGGCCATCTTTCAGCATGCTATTTGATAGGCTTGCTGTTGCAACAACATGAGATATATAAAGTATATTTCCACTCAGGTTATTAGGGCCACCATTGAATGGAAGTCACCTCTCTGTGCAATACCGCCCTGTATACTCGATTTCATCATTTATTCAATGAACTTCAATTCTCAACACGGATAGTGTGTTTTTCCTATTTGATATACGAAAACTCATGATTATTACAAAACATAATTAATTGTCAAGATATTAGGCATCACCCTGTTTTCAATATTTCCGTTGATCGAATTATTCTCCAAACAAACTTATTATTGAGGTTGACATTCTATCAACAAGTAGTTTTTTGAAGCTCATAGGGCACAAATTCACTTAGAAAAATATGTCTGTTCTACCACCCTTAAAGGCAAACAATCCAACATTTGAATCGCTGTTGCTCGAAAACAAGTCATAGGATATCACAAATTACAACATACTATAATTCCAGCCGATTTGGCATTTCATGGTGGCAGATGTTAAAAATTGTATAATTGAAGCTTACCGTGCTCGGTGAAATTGAACAGGGGCGGCAGCTCGTTGCCGTTGGGCAGACGCGTGTTGGGCTCGCGCAGTTCGCCGAAGAAGGGATGGGCGCACGCCTGCAGAGGGCCGACCCGGGAGGAGGGCGTGTACTCGAGGAGGCGGGCCACCAGCTCGATCGCCTCGGGCGGGGTCCGCACTCGGAACACCTGAAACACGGAGAAGAAGAAGACTTCGTTAACATCCGAGAAGATGTTCCAAACTGGATAAAAAAGTTGCAAATATAATTCTATATTCGTCGACGAAATCGCAAAACCAAGTAAAATTTTCAGGACACACTAAAAACTTTATAATTTCGGGTTAACGGATCAGATTCAACAAAAAATAGTAACAAAGCAATTGATTATTATTATCCTTACGTTTGTACATTGATCATCGAAAAAAGTCATTGTTTACGTTTGTCAGCGTAAGAAACTTGGTTTTGACATCTGTTTCTGTGCGAAAGCAACAACAATTATTCAGAAAAGTAATTCGCAAAAACACGTAACTTCATTTTTCTGGACTTTCCGCTTAACAAATACTTGAGATAAATTCTCACATCCTGTGTTGAAATACCAATTGAAGTTAAGAATAAACTGTTTTACATATCTCTTCTACGAAAGTCACTCACCAATTAGCAGAGATTGATCTCTGTGAAAAGAAATTGAACACAAATTATCAGAGGCGTGAATCACGTTGCTAACTTGTTTTTGACGACCCCTTTTATTTAGTTTTTCAGAAGGGGTTTTGTATTTATGGATTTTAAAATATTTACAATTTTTTACCAGTTGTGAGGTTTTGCATACTCATCCTCACCAATATGATAGATAGATAGATAGATATATACTTTAATGTCCAAGAAAGAATTCTCATTGACAAAGTAATGATATTACACAACATACATAATTGATGAAATAGAATAAAATAAAATAAAAAACAAACCTTGCATGTACATTGAATGCAATTGTATCAAAAAATATAAAAAGAGTTCGACACTAACACCATAAGTAACATATGAATAATAGATGATAGACCGATTGCCGCCAGAATCCCATTTTCGAATTTTTGTCAGTTACTTGGTTTTGCGGTTTTGTCGAAGAATTATTCTCATATACTCAGTCGTATTAAATATTTGATAAATGTTTGGGGATACTGTTCAAAAAACAATTTCAATAAAATATCTGCATTATATAAAAAGACATTGATAGTACTGTATCGTTTACTATATGATATGTGAATTACATACAATATCATGAATATAAGATTGAGATCCAATTTTATTTCAACACGAAACAATGAAATTCATGATTACCAAACTAAACAACATGGTTTATTTCATCTTGTTATCGCTAATTCTTCTATAGGGCAAAAGAGATTCACCCACGCTGCTGTTTTTGAATATAACAAATTAGCAGATACTATTAAAAATTGCAGAAATACAATAAAATTCAAATACCAACTTGAATCACTTAATGGAAATTCTAGTGATATAAAAAGTAGTTCACCATCAGACAGTGGAGACGAGATTATAATAGTTCTCAGGAAAGAGAAAAAAATATACAGACAAAGGCAAAAGTGTCTCCAAAAATATGATAATATAGATTTCTTCCAGAGATTTCGATTGACGAAGCCTACAGAAAATTGCACCTCTGATATGTCATCTTACAAATAGGTATGCAAATACATTTATTGTCCTCTTACCATTCATATATTTATGAGAAATATTACAAGGAGGTGGTTGCATCAAACATGGTATTCACTACTGAAAACTGAACATGAAAATGGTAGATTCAAGATGAATGAATAAAAACATCCTGTAACTCATTTGTATACTAACATCATCCATATTATTCTTCCCTCGCTCCATTTTTTATGCATTGTACAACAGCACTATGTGATTGCATAATTTGATGAATAAGTAGCCCAATAATCCACTCCTTTGTAAACGAATAAAAAAAAGTGAGGTTGTTTTACCTCCACATTTGGTCATCTGTCAAATGTGCACGCGTGACGCGACCTATAGACATAAAATAATGCACAGATTTATTGAACTAAATGTCACAATTCAAATGTATGAAATTCCTAATTAATGGAAGGCGGCACTATCGAACGGTATAAATAAAAAATCAGAAGACTCACATTTTGAGAAGTGTCTATACATATTTGTGTTTCGCTGAAGAAGACACTCACAATAATTTATCTCCAGGACAGTCTTCTTCATAAGGATATCATTATTCAGGTGAATATTTTTTGTGGATTGAGTATTAAATGAAGGTTTGCCAGACTTCTCAATAATTATTCCGTATTTTTATTGTCATATAACCAATGTGCCATTCTCCTTAGTTTGCAGATACAGTGCCATTTCAGTATAATTTCATCAAAAGACTGATGTATAATGATTATTCAGTTCATATGTTATTTCGCAGGTGCGATTATATATTTTCTCAAGATTCCATCGAATTGTTATCCGTATTCTGAATGAATCCTATTTTTTTCTATTTCGTCTTATTTGAGATCGTATCTCAAGTTCAGTTTTTTTCATCATATTATTTTTCGACATTTTTGATTTTTTACCGAAATTGACCTGACATTTCAAGGAGAATTTCCTAGAGGCAACAAGAATCGAATTATAAATTTCAAGTTTACTTGCTCGAGTGTAATTCGGTGAGAAAATTAAATGCATACGTTAATCACACAATTGTTGATGGTAATTCAAATTTCTCCACTCGCATACTCGCCAAATCTCGACATTCCTTTCTGACAACGCAATACTGGAAAATATTTACATAAACGCCTTCAAGATTTGTTCACAATAGATAGACACCGCGATTCATTCATAAACCATTAAAAAGTGAACGCCAACAATTCTAAACGCCAAACACGGACAAATGAATGGAATCACGAATGGTGGGGATAATAACAGACTATTGTTTATTTGCGGGCGAGTACTCAGACTAAATAATAACAATAGTTAAGACACCAATCCATATCAAGTTTAATAAAGTTTTATATGCCAAATGAATACAATAATGATCCAAAACATCCACATAATTAATACACATCAAAATCAAAGTAATAGTGCAGCTTCATGTTCAACTTGAGATATCTCAAAAAATAATGACTATATCGCTATGAAGAAAGGGTACGATATTTACGTGAAAATAAAATTGCGTATCCTCCAGGGGAGTAGAATTTGGGAATGATCAACCAGTCACTTGCCCCTGTCGTACGCCTCTGGTAGTAGCCAGAAACGATGTTTTACATAATTTGGTAGGATGTATAGTATCTACACTTCTCACCAAATATAACAATGATATGTCAATTAGTATTAGGCACAATTTTTTTTTAACTAAGTCACCCTACCTTGTGACCCTTGTGACCTATCTAGGTGATTTGGGTTAAATCTTCATATTTTGAGCTCAGGATTTTATTGCTGAAATATTTCCAGTTAGTAATGAATCACCCTGTATAATAGGAATATAAATTCGAGAAATAATCATTCGAAATTGTAAATCGTCATTTTACAATTTTTGCACAACTTTACGCCCGGGCGGTAAGGTAAAACTTTACGACCGATCAAGCATACACCATTAATTTGTACATAGTGATACAATGCTGGACAAACCAAACCAAGAGACGTCGTGAGCAACACAAAAAATACCAAGCTGTCTGGTGTATCTGTGTGAGTTACAAACGAAGCACAAAAAACGCAGGCGAATTTACGACGATTAGTAAAAAAAAATTGAGGACAGCCATCAACTCACAGACTTACGCGTATTTTTTGGTTGCTCGAACTGTCAAATGGCATGGACAGTTTTGTCAGCAAGAACTGCAAAATAATATTTTAAATTTGCACAATAGAATGTTTTATCTGATGGCATGTCATAATGACAACGTTATGTCACTCAATTTTGATGACATAAGGAAGCTCATTATGGGACTAAGTACCATAATGAATTCATTATGGGACTAAGTACCATAATGAATTCATTATGGTACTAAGTACCATAATGAAATTCTATAAGGAAAACATGTAATGGTTTGATCAAAAAAGTTTATTCAAAATGCACACGCCGTGTTATCGGACTCGGCTACGCCTCGCCCGATAACATTCACGACTTGTACCATAATGATCGTCTTTATGATCCTTATTACATATATAACTATTATGCTATGAAAAAACAAAACTGACACTGATATAAGGATTATTGTACTGTAACCAATATCCAGAATTTACTGCATGAGAAACGAACTCATATAAGCATAAAACACATACACTCAAATCAGACCATTATCTGAAAGAATATGTAAATTTGGACCTCCAGAATAGAATCCCAGTTGATTTTTAGTGGATTCCAAGGGACACAAATGAATTCCATAGAATTCCATCGATATCCATGGGATTTTAGATAATTCCAGAGGATTCCAGTTGTTAGAAGTACCCTTAACCTCTAAAAAGTCCTGGATTATTCCAATGGATATCAGATAATACCATTGGATTCAAAATAATGCAATGGGATTGCAAATAATGCCATGGGATTCCAAATCATGCTAAACGTTTCCAAAGAATGCCAAGGGATCCCAGAAATTACAAATTCATAAAAAACCCAAAATATTATTATTGTGGCTGAAGGACTCAGGTCGCTGGCCATTTTATTGTATTGTATATCTTTTTGCATTCACATAATTATGATCAATAAAGAACTTGATGATCATTATTATTATTATATTCCAAATATTATTCCAATTGATTTTCCAGAATGCAACAAGATTCCACGGGATTCAAAAGGATTCAAGAGAATTTATTAAAAATAATAATTATATGACATTTCCAGTGAGTTATTGAGGACCTCTGCCATTTCAAATGCATAGCAGAAAATTTCAAAAGATTTCAGAACTAGAGACATTTCCGGAGAATATCTGAGAATTCCTTGAAAATTCTATAATATATACGGTACCTAGAGAATTTCATGAAAATTCTAGTTAGTTACAAGGGATTTTAGAGAATTATTCATTCATTTTAAAAATATCGTAGGTTTTCAGATGATTCCATGAACATTCAGTTGTGGGCACGGAATTTCACAGATTCCATGGAATGTCGTGGGATTCCAAAGTATATTCTAAGATTCCATTGAATTTGATGAGGATTTTGTTAATTGATTTCAAATAATGATAACGTACATTTCCATTGAGTTCAGCACCTCGAATATTCAATGTATAACAGAAAATTTCAATGGATTATAGGATTGCAGGGATGATCGGAGAATTGCTGTGGATTCGGTAGTGAGAAAACACCATGAGATTCCAAAGAATTACATGGAATTTTAGAGTCCTAGAAAATTCCAAGAGATACCAGAAAATTCTATGGGATTTTAGAGAATTTCATGGAATTTCAGCGAATGACCATGGAATTCCAGAGAATTTCATGAGATTTCAATACCATGTGATTCCAGAGAATTTTATAAAATTTCAGTGAATAGCCATGGAATTAAAGAGAATCTCATGAGATTCTATAGAATTCCATGGGATTTAAAGAATTACATAGAATGTCAGTAAATGACCATTGAATTCCAGTGAATGGCATGCTGATGTCTATGGAATTCTTGAGAATTTTATGGAGTTTCAGTGACCATGGGGAATAGCCATGAAATCTCAATAAAGTACAAGAATTCCTGTGAAAATCATAGGTTTCTAGAGAATTGCCATGGTTACAGAGACTAACATGGGATTCTAGGAAATTTTATAAAATTCCATACATTTATTTGGGATTTCAAGGAATTCCAGATACTTGCCTGAGATTCCAGATAGTTTCATGAGATTCCTGTCAATTTCATAGAACTCCAGACAATTTCATAGTATTCCAGATAATATCAGTGAATTCTATGGTGTAGTCTATTGAACGGAATTCCATAGGAAGAAACATGGTATTCCAGGATAACTCAATGCGATTCCAATTTATTTCAATAGCAGTTATGACCAAAACCAAGATGAACAGAAGATGGTGTAGAAACTCCTATCAAATCCCATCTCTACTGTTTTTCGGTCAAAGTTCTTGACCTACGGTCTACTTGACTGAAGGATTCTTTTCAACATCGCGGAATATAAATCTCAACCAAAAAGTTTCCTAGAACTGATAATTAAAATTCCCCAAAATTACAGTTTTGTACTTTCAAATTTAATCTCATTTGATTTGAGGTCATGCTATGAATCAATAAAAAATGTTGCCAGGGTAGCAACCGGGTGGCACCAATTCCCACCCCCCATTTCACAAGACTCCCCTAGGGGATGACTGCCGGTTACCTGTGTTTCGACTTATACCGAGAGCATACCCCAGAGAGAAATGGAAGATTTGGATACGCCAAATCAGCGCGCTAGAACCATCTCCATTATGTAACGGCATGTTCTCCTGCTACCATTTTATTATACCAATGGTGAGGTCGTCTGATAAAACAGACTACAGGCTCTGCAGTGTCGATGCCTGAGCAGAAACACTGCCCACCCGCCGAGACGGGCAAGATATCCTCCCACTTGACCCATAGTGGGATTCACCTTTACCTCCTCTACCGTAGTCCGGTGGTGTTTTTTGGAAATCGCTGCCCCCTGGAGTCCAACCCAATTGGTGGGGCATCAGGTCGTATGTACGACTTGATGGGGCTATCCTCATCACCCCAGGTACCCATGTCAACAAAATTCCTCTTGTTACGTTTGATGGGTCGCCGTCGCAAGGGGCTCTGGCCTGATTGCTACTCATGTTGACAAGACTTTTACACGTTCTACCTCGTTTACAGGAGAGTGCCCGGCTTTGCCTACGCTGACTGGCTGTGGGATCGCTTGGGGCTGCCCCCTCCCTGTCGGACTAAGGCACAAGGTACACCAAAAGTTCCAGTTTTCGCTGAGCAAGCCCAGCTACCCATTTTGACCGGAATCCTTCAGTCCCGTTTGATGGGTGACCGTTCACGGTATTTCACACGTACCGCTACCATGACAAGAGTGGGGACCTCGAACTTTTTTTTTTTAATTTTTTTTTATTATTTCTGGTACAAGCGGTGTGTAGTAAGCGCCATTTTCTGTTTTCTGTCATGCAAGAAATTTTGGGAGAAACAAATCACTGTCTGTGATTACACCATATTCTATCCACCTTGACCAAAACCTATACATATTCCATGAAAACAGAACCCGAAAATCATCCTCACCTGTTGCCACGGATGCGACTTGATCTGCGGAAACTTGAACTCGGTGTAGTTGGGGTTCATCTCTTTGATCTGCTCCTTGGTGGGCGTACCCAGCACCTTGATGATCTCCACCAGCTGATCCACTCCCGAATCGCCGGGGAAGATCGGCTGCCCGAGCAAAAGTTCCGCCAAGACGCAGCCGGCGCTCCACACGTCTATCTTCGTGGTATAGTCGATAGCTCCGAAGATCAGTTCTGGAAGGATTCATTCTCAAACTAACAAACACTGCGATTCGATTCAATCATAAATCATTGAGAATGTATACGCCAACAAAACTAAACGCCAAACGAGGATGAATGAGGGAAATCGCGAATGGTGGGAAAAATTATAGACACTAGTATATTTGCGGGTGAGTGCTCAGACTAAATAACAATCCGCGGTAGTCAAGGTCATCATCTGACGTTGCGACGACATGAAAACTACGGATTATTGAAAAGTATTCATATTTTTAGGCTCAATAATTCAAGATACGGTAATTTTGCACTTATCATGCGATGGTTTTTTTTTCGAAACTTTTCTTTGCTACTTGCGTATTTTCGTCTGAAAAACACGAATTTCACAATGAAAATGTGAACAAACCACTATTTATCGAGATATTCCACGAAAAAGTTCGAAATTTCAGCTCCTTTTCCGCTGTAAATCTTTTATGGTCAAAGGAGGCTGCTTCCCGTTGGATGTTGCCAAGTCACAAAATTTTATTATATCCAGAATAATTTCAAGTGAAAGCAATGTTGCCGAACATTCTCAATATTTGTAGGTTCACGAAAAAAGTCCTCACCTGGAGCCCTGTAGTAGCGACTGCAGATGTAGGAGACGTTCGGCTCGCCTTTGACGAGGTGTTTGGCGCTGCCAAAGTCACACAGCTTCAGAACGCCCGTTTCGGGGTCCAGAAGAAGGTTCTGAGGTTTTATGTCCCTGTGACATATGCCTAGCGAGTGGATGTACGCTAGCGAACGGAACAACTGGTACATATATAACTGGAACAAACAAAAAAAAAACATTTATTCACTGAAACATCCGAATGGGATTTCTATTCGGGTGACAATAATTATTGAACCCTATGCTGGAACAATGTTGTAACCGCCATAATTAATAAAAAAATATTTCCATGGAACAATATTGTATGCAACCTAAACAATCCGCGTAATGGTGGAGGCATAAGACCAATTTCTGGAAGTTTTCTGGTGTCATTTCGATCTGTCAAGTTTTGATAGTTTATGGAACAACGTTGTGAGCGCCATTTGTAGAGTACAGTCGATCGAATACGTTGTTTACTTTTACTCCAGTCGAATGGCAAATTGAAGGTCTCGAAAGTGAAAATCAAATTCGAATTTTATATAAGTTTGTGTAAAATCATACAAGGATTACAATTTCGAAATTAGTTTTTGAATTAAGTTGATGAGAAGGACACATTACCTCAATATATTATAAATAAGTTCCAGTGACCTATCGTTAAAAGAAGTACTATACGCGTTTTTCTTACTGAAGATTAAGTGATAAGTGATAACCAGCTATAAACTGAATAAAGGATACCGTGAACGTGAACTGTTCGCTATTATAATATGGATGCAGAAACAATCACCAAATTCTTTAAGCAATTGCAAGACGAAATTATAAAGAACAGAAAAGAATTGAGGAACACAATTGAAGCTAGCGAAACTAGGGTTCTGATGAAAATTGAGTCGATAAACGAGAGGGTTGTGCATTTAGAGAAAGAAAATCGAGAACTCCAAGAGAAAAACGAAAGACTAGAGAGGTGTATTAAGAAAAATAATATCATCATATTCGGGTTACAAGAACAAGAAGAACTTTCTTTTGATTACTTGAGAAGCGAGCTGAAAAATTTATTGGGAATAGATGTTCAAATCTCAGACATAAATAATTTTTACAAGCTCCAGAACTCACGAAATAACCCCATTAAAATTGAATTGATATCGTATCTGAAGAAGACAGAAATACTGAGAAACTGTAAGAAATTGAAGCACACAAACATAAGCATCGTTAATGACCTAATCCCTGGAGCAGAGAAAAGAAAATACAATTTTGAGAACCCACTTGAAGAAATATCGTGTTAACGCAGAAGTTAAATCATTCATAAAGGGGAATCGGCTGTATGTGGATAACAAAATATTCACAGCTGAACAGTTATTGGAAATCGAATCAAGCACTAATAAATCAGAAGTGAATAGTGCACCAACCACTCCCACAGTTCCTAAATCATTGGATCAGGAAATTGTAAGCGAAGAGGCTACCTACAGTGGATGTATCAATATCACGCCGAAGCTGATTCAACAGAAGAAATTAACAACCAACTCGGATGTATTTGAAGCAGCAAGCAAAAAACAAATCAAAGCAGCTCCCCTCCAAGCGCATGAGAAACGGCTACGTTCTAACAGCAGGCAGTACTGAACGAAAATCAACACTACCTATAATTGTGAGAAAACCCAGCTTGTCACAGTCTACTCCAAAATCAAACGGAACAATCAAGAAAATCTCGAAACAAACCAAGCCAGCAATTGAGAAACCCAAGATCCGCTCCCATTATCAGTAAATAAATACCTTACAGCTTACATATTTGCATGCAGGCTATAATTATTATTTTTCATTAAAATTTGTTGCTTTCTTAATATCTATACAATAATCTACTTGGATCTCTGAATCATCATGATTCGATGTCTTAAATTTGCTCATCTGAATGTAAGATCATTATTTACTGGATTTGATGAACTTAAACAATTCATTATTAGTAATGAGATTGATATTATTGGAATTTCGGAAACTTGGCTCAGTTCCCATATTACCTCAAATACAGTAAAAATTGAAAATTACAATATTGCTAGAGCAGACAGGAATGGCAGAGGAGGAGGAGTTTGCTTTTATATCAAGCAGTCTATCCACTTTGAGGTCATATTTTCAGAAACTAGTGATTTCCTTGAACATATTTGGATTTCAGTTAGAGAACTTGGTAAACAAAATGTGTTTGGGGTGGTATACCGGCCACCCAAGGCAAATATCTCCGTCTCTCTCACTGCACTCGAAGATATAGTATCAAATCTGTTAACAAACTGTGATTCCTTGAACTTAGTTGGTGATATGAATATTAATTTACTGTCGGTTGATAACTCTGTGGAAATGTTCTCGAACTTTCTCCAAAGATTCAATCTCTCTCAGCTCATTGATGTGCCTACTAGAATAACGCTTAATAGCCAGACCCTATTAGATATATTGGTAACTTCTGAGAAAGATGATATGCAATCCATTAAAGTTCTTGATTTAGGTATCTCAGATCACCTAGCAGTCACTTGCGTTATCAAATCATTAAAGATAACACATAAATACAAAACAGTTTGCTACAGAGATTTCAGGCAGTTCAACGAAGAATATTTTATGCATGATCTTCACGCTATTAACTGGAATGATATCTTTGATTTCGAGACAGTCAGTGAAATGGTTGAATTTTTAAATATCAATATTTTAAATCTCTTCAATGTCCATGCCCCAATCAGATGTATAAGAACCACTAAACCCCCTTCTCCTTGGCTCACATACAATATCAAAGAAATTATCAAACTGAGGGACAAAGCTCTGAAAAAATTTAAAGTCACGAAATCTCATATCGACTGGACAAGTTACAAAGATCTCCGTAATTATACGACTGGTGCAATTCGTCGAGAAAAGAAAGCCTACTTGGAGTTTATCGTGAGAAACAAAAACCCTAGTTCGATATGGAAATCATTGAGGGCAATGGACATACTGAAAAATAAAAGTAAAAATTCAAACTTACCACCTAATTTATCGAACCTAGATATCATAAATGAACATTTCACAAATACTGATCATCTACCTACAACAGATCTGCACAGAACACTCCTTGATAGTTATAATCATATTCCCAATGATGCGCCAACGTTCGGCTTTTCTAGAATAACTCCTAATCAAGCACAACGATATCTAGATCGTGTGAAAAGTAACTGTGCTGGATCCGACGGCATTACACTCGTCATGTTACATTATGTTGAACACTATCTCATTGATCACATCACACATATTTTCAATTCTATAATAGTAACGAATAATTTTCCATCAGAATGGAAGCAAGCAATTGTACTACCATTACAAAAATGTGAAAATCCAACTGAACTATCTCAGCTGAGACCGATAAGCAAACTACCCATCTTATCTAAAGCATTCGAACTCATTTTGAAAGATCAAATGGACGCATTTGTGTATAACAATAACATCATTTCCAATGTTCAATCCGGTTTCCGTGCATCTCATAGCACTACTACAGCTCTTATCAACATCACACAAGATATATTCAAAGCAACTGATGGAAGTGAACTAACTTCAATGGTGCTCCTGGACTACAGTAAAGCATTCGATACATTGGACCATGATATTCTGTGTAACAAGCTGAGATACTTTGGATTCAGTGAGGAAGCCTCTAGGCTACTGAAAAATTATTTGAAAAATCGATCTCAAATTGTATCTCTTAATGGAGAATGCTCGAGTGCTTTACCAGTCAATCTTGGAGTGCCACAGGGATCTATACTTGGACCTCTTTTGTTTTCGTTATATATATGTGATTTCCACCAGATTATTAACCATTGTACTATGCATCATTATGCAGACGATACTCAGCTGTATTATTCATTTTCGTACCATAACTGGGATGTTGCAGTAGACATTGTCAATGAAGATCTACAGAACCTCTTGAATATTTCAACAGCCCATAATTTAAAGTTGAATCCAAAGAAGTCCCAGTCAATCCTCTTTGGTCCCAAACATAAACGGTTGGAAATTGAAGAATTATTTCGTATCAAGCTCAATCGAGTTGAAATTCCTATTGTCAAAGAGAGTAAAAATTTGGGTTTGTGGCTTGATTCTGATCTCAGATTCCACAAACATATTAATTCACTCTGTCAGAGTTCATACAATATTCTTCGCCAACTATATCAGAGTAGAGATATCATGTCCTCAAAACTCAAACTGAAACTCTGTGATACACTGATACTTTCAAGACTATCATATTGTGATATTATTTATGGCCCCGCTATAGTACAAATGGACGTGAAACGTCTACAAAAAATTCAAAATAATTGTATCCGTCTTTCATACGGAATTCGTAAGTTTGAACACATATCTGCTAAATTTGAGGAATCCGGTTGGTTGAGACTTGATAAAATTTGGCAGCAACACCTCCTCGTGAATACCCACAAATTTGTTACAATGAAAACGCCAGATTATATCCACAAGAGATATACCACCTTTAAATCTCAAGGTAAATCGAGTACACGTAACCGTGACACCTTCATTATTCCAAAGCATTCATCAGTTTGTTTCACACGTAGCTTCATGTATAACTCGATCAAGCAGTATAACTCTCTTCCTAATCACTTCAAAAACGACTCATTGCTGAATTTCAAGAAAAGGTTGAAAGAATACCTCAAAGCAGGATAGATTTTGGATGATAACAACGCCTTGTCTGATTTTTTTTTTGTTTTTTTTTCTTTGTTTGTGAGCTTCCTTTTTGTATTCGTATTGAATATGTGGATATTTTATCGTCGTATATTATGTACTTGTATGTGTATATTTAATTATATTCACTCATATATTAATATGTTTATATTACCTTACATGGTTAAGTTGTAAAACAGCGCAAGCTGAACTTCGCCTTTTCATCGAGCATCATTATAATTTGTAGATCTCTTGTTCTTATAAATTATTAATTATCGATGAATAAAGTCCATTTATTATTATTATTATTATTATTATTATTTACATTTGTTTGGACTGTTTGGTGTGTACTTTATTATTGTTATAGGTCGCGTGCACAAAATGTCAGATGACCGACCCTGGAGGTAAAACAATCTCAAATGATCTTAGAGGGGAGTGACTTAATGAACACAGTGTTTTTCGGTATTTAATAACATTGCCTTGACACGAAGAAAACTTCTTATCAGCCGGCATGTATACACCCTGTATATTGACTCATCGATGAATGTACACTAGTCACTGGATGCTATGAGTTTGATAAGAGTTCGGACACAGAAATGACAACTGTTAGTGTTTTTGAATGTTTAGATTTATAAAGTTACACCACCATAGTCGTCCCGCGCTATTTCATTCAAAATTGTTCGATTTCGACAATAAATTTCATGAACGTCAGAATGAAATATAATTTCATCTACTGATACCATCCAGTGACTCTAATGTACCGGGTGTACCACTAAGAAAGGACGCCGGCTGTATCTCGGAAACTATTTGCCGCACAGATTTGGGAAAAAAATATTTATGATAGAAGTGGCCAAGAAAAATCTCTGGAAATTATTTTCAAGTTTCCAGGACAGCCGCTAGAGGGCACAATTGCATTGGCCTGCTTGAAAAACGGGTTTTTATGAAAATTTGATATATAAAGACATATCAGAAACACTTCTTCCATGTTCTCGAGTTGATTTCCAATCATTTCGATAAAAAAAATTGCGCTAGCTCTTTAAATAAAAGAGAGAGGGAAGGATGAATAGTACTCTGGAAAAACTCTTATTACTACAGTTTGGTGCAACGGAATAAAGCGATCTTGGTCTCATTATGAAGGGTTTTTTGAGATCTTCCCGATGAATCCCGAATCAAGTCGATTTAAATCCCGTGGTGGCCGCTAGATGGCATCGTTTAAAAAAATCAGCCGATTTGCCTTTTTTTTTTCGAGAACTTCAAATGGAACCATATATTTTTCGTGCTATGATATGAAAGTAAAGTAAACGAGAAGAAAAATGGTGAAAACCGGGAGTTGATACCTCTTGAAGAACCGGAGAAATACTCGGAATAATATTAAAATTCAAACTGTTAGCATGTCAAATGCCTCCTCATTCGTTATCGGCATTTTGACAAATAAGCAATCCACAGTGAACACTTCCAATGAAACTTCAATTATATTTTGACGTTCCTTTCATTCAAAGCCAACTTGCCTTTTCTATACTCACTACTCACATTTCAATTAGCTATGTCATTATACTAAGAGTCTCCTTCACTATTGTGAGATATAACAGCAGTTTGTGAAACCAAAATAAATGAATTATTGAAATCATAATTTCATAGATACAGGATATTTCTAATAACGATTATTGAAGTTAGATTCCTGTGGTGAATATTTTCATAATATTATTTCGAGTATTTCACCGGGTTCCTCAAGAGGCATCAATTCGCGGTTTTAACCATTTTTCTTCTCGTTTGCTCTACTTTCATATTAGAGTAGAATGAATATATGGTTCCATTTGAAATTTTCGAAAAAAAAAGAAAATTGTCTGATTTTTCAAACGATGCCATCTAGCGGCCACCACAGGATTTAAATCGACTTGATTCGTGATTCATCTGGAAGAACCAAAAAAACCCTTCATAATGAGACCTAGATCGTTGAATTCCGTTACACCAAACTGTAGTAATGAGAGTTTTTTCAAAGTACTATTCATCCTTCCCTCCCTCTTTCATTTAAAGAGCTAGCGCAATTTTTTTGATCGAAATGATTGGAAATCAACTTGAGAACATGAAAAAAGTGTTTTTGATATGTCTTGATATATCAAATTTTCATAAAAACCCGTTTATTATACTGGCCAATGCAATTACGCCCTCTAGGGGCTGTCCTAGAAACTTGAAAATAATTTCCAGAGATTTCTCTTTTTCTTAGTGGTACACCCGGTACACTGTCACGCGAGGTATCACGCACTCCCAAGACAGACAGAATGTTTCTGAAATTGCAGCTGCAAAACGATAATTTGAGACGATGATTGAGAATTTACTTTAGATACACCTATGTGTAGGTATCTTTAGATTTTATGTGGTTCCATCAGTAGACCGTGGTTCAAGGTGAACAAGAGTCCTCGCCCAATGACAAAGCAATTTTAATTCAATTAAATTGTTTCACAACGATTTGATTCAGTTTAGTTTCTATCAATCCTCTACTATCATAATAATTATTCCTACGATGACACCAGTTTGTATACGAGTGCGGAAGTAGTAGATAATTCTCGATATCACGGTACAATTAATGCGTTGAAAGCATCTTGAATGGACTAGCAGAGTTGCAGTCTGTTTGTTAAACTTTTCAAAGAAGGTGATTGAGGAGAATAGGCCGTTCCACTCATTTCTAAAAAAATATATCTCGAAACATATGGCTCTGGAATACCTCAAATTATTTTTTTTTTAATTGACTCGGTAAAAACTTCACAAACGATAAGATTTCCATAAAATTCTCAAACACACGTCATGTTTCGCTAACACAGTAGATTCGTCAGGTGATATAGTGGTAAAATGTATTCATTTCATTTCAGTTATTGCATTACATTCTCTTCTTCATTGATACATTTTATACGAATAATATATCAAGTATAATTTGATTTTCTAGTAGGAATGACATGAAAGATCAGACAGTAATTCCTGGTATAAGATCATTCATGAAGTATATTCGACTGTTGTATAATTGAAATTACAAATAGTGAACAAAACTTACATATTATTAAGATATCTCAAAATAACAGTCATATTATAGTGAACAAGAAAAAAAAAACCGTGAAAAAAAAAAGGAAATTCATAGTCTTCCAGCTTTGATCATTCCTTTGCATATAAATATATTTCTTCACTTTATTTTTGAATTATTGTATAATATTTGGGCTGTTTTTGATATTATCTGGTAATTTATTGAATTTCGAAATCGCCTCATGTGTAAACTTTTTTTGTCCAAGTTTAGAATTTGCAGCTTCAAGATGAAACAAGTTATATTGTCTAGTGTGATGGTCATGAATTTGGGAATTCATAATTAATATAAAATTTGATTTAAGCTTTTTGTTGATGATATAATAGGAAATTTTGAGAGTATTGATTAAAAAGTGCTCTTCCAAAGAAAATGTGTTTGTTTCCTTATACAGTTGATTCGTTGAAGTATCATATGGAAGACGATACAATACTTTCAATGCTTTTTTATATAGAACAGAAATTTTGTTGAAACTATTTTTGGAACAAGATCCCCAAATATTGATGAGATAGTTAATTCGACTGAGTATATGTGAATAGAGAATGATATTTGATGTATATGTACCAAGTTTAGGACATCTTCTTAAAGCACCAATAATGGGAGATACTTTTCCTATCAGAATGTCAATATGCTTTTCCCATGTTAATTTCTCATCAATCCAAATACCAAGGTAAACTAACTAACTAACCTTGGCTTGCCTAACTTTTATTCATCCTACTTTCCCAACCTGAAGGATTAGTCCCCTGTGGAATTTTTTGTGTCTTTTCGACGACAACGACAAAATGAACGGAAGAATTCAAACGATCAGACATGGCCGCGAAACATGTGACGTCAGTGCGTAAGCCATTTGTATTGGTGATGCCTTCACCTTCTTGCTGGAGCCAATAAAATGCACAATGAATTTGGTTAGCGCCAGTTGTTTCATCTATTTTTCTTGTAAAAACAGTTGCTACATTAGCAATCACATTTTCCGGGATTTTTAAATTTTTTTTTATCGCTTGGAGCCCACGACAGGGAATCTCTATAATGTTCGAAACACATGGTGCGTACCTAGGAAGGATAGGGAGATGAGCTAGATATTGGATTCTTTTGAACTTCTTCGTCACAAACTCCAACCAATCAAATTGTAAGGAGACACTTACATCACAGCTCAGTAGTGTTTGAATTCACAGGTATTGAAACAGAACTTTCAATATTAAATAATTGTTTTGATTGTCCCGATAAATATGTGGTCATCTTAACTTTATTACTTCCCTTGACATTATAGCATAAAAGGTCGGAAAAAGGGTTAATTTTACGATACTGGAAAGGCCCAGTGGCAACCATGTCAACTATTTGCAAGAAATATGTGAAATCTTCCAGAAGATAATGAGAAGCAGGAATGATGAAAAACAATGTAAATTGTAGTTTTGTTATGCTCACCTTTATAAAGCTGATAGGTATAGTTTGTTTTGACTTGCTATAGTGCCTTGCTACCTTATACACCGTTTCTGGGATATATTCCAAGACCAAATTCAGGTACACCTCATCCTTCTGAAAACGAATTGAATTAATCAAATACATATAACATATCTTGAAAAAAAAAGTTCTAGCAATCCGTAGATGGAGGGTAGAATTAATTGGCAACAATGTTTCTACTGAATCGACAGCCTCAACAACTACTATATCGCAATAGTATAGTCGTACTACTTCTTGGTTCTTCCATTTTTGGGGCACAAAACAGCATAAGGATTCGTATTCTTAATACCAGAGTAAAAAATGATAAAAAATTGACATTCAATAAAGAAAAAACATCACTAGGTATTAGATGCCCGCCATAAGAGGATTCATTTTCCTGATCAGTCTGTTCAAAGGAAAAGGTACAGCAAAAACTACTTCCTAACCTCGAAATTGATGAGCAAATGAGCAAATATAATTTTGAGGGGTTCAGTATACTCTTCTTATAATATTAGTTGCAAAACTTGACAGATTGGACCCTTCTGAGCCCTGCTAAAAAATCTTAGGTCTTTATTTATCAAACGTCATTGAACAAGGATAGATATATACTGACTGCCTAAGGTTATGTCGCTGTCACTATCATGAGATTCATGAGTGTCATGTGTCATGCCGTGTGACTTTCACATTTTATTTTTTCACATCTGACATTCGACTTGCTGCTTGTCCTTTCAGTTTTCTGTGTTTTTCATGATAATGAAGTAGGTACTTTGCTGATCAGATGAGTACGATTTATCTTTTTCAGATATGTATAAACACACCATGTGCATTTTGGATTGATTGGCAAATCATTACGTCCAAACTTATATGTGGTTTTAAGAAATTTAACACTTTTTTCGTTGCTCAATAATGCTCTTTAGGCCATAGTGGGCATTTATATATTTTATTCATTTTTGTTAAAAGCATATGATGACGAAAATTATTGTGAACAGCATACAGCTCTACTCAGTTGGAGTCAAACGAGTTCTTATGGACTCCCAGATTTTTAGGGAGGGGGATGAAATGTAATTCAAGCAAAATGTTCTAGCCAATTCAAAACAGGTAGGGGTAAAAAAATCATCAATCGCTAAGAAATAAAAGCAGGTGCGTACCTGCGAGTTCAAAGTTGTAGCCAAGAAAATCGACATATTGCAGGGTAGTTCTGCCTGCTACACACAAAAACTCAGAATGATATACAGGGTGATTCAATTCTTCGTTCATCACTTCATAAAATCTTGAGTAAATTCATTCAGCAGAGTATTGAACAAATATCGACCACCTTGTACATTTATTTATGAATAAAATTGCGATATCCCAAATCAAAGAGTTTTATATCTGGGAGTTCGTGTTTCAGTATGTGCAATTTTCAACGAAATGATGATCAAAGTATATTAAATAAATTATATGGCTATCAAATTCGGAAGTTAACTTACATATATATTTTTATTGAACAAATTTCTGTCTAATTTTCAACTATCAGAAGAACTTTAAATTCAATATGTGCAAATATTGTAAGAATATTAATAAAAGAAATATTGAAAAAAGTCGAAACACTTACCTTATCTCCACTGGAGTAAAAGAAATATTTAAGTTTAACTATATTACAATGTTCTAATTTCCTCATGATTTGTAGTTCTCGGTTCTGAAAAAGAAAAATATCATCAAATCAAGTGAAACCACAATACGGGGACATTTGAATGAAATAAATATTGAATTTTATTATTGATCCACAAATCCTTATTTTTCAAATTACATACAATGTGACCCAAATTCAAATTTTGAGCAGCCAGTGGATTGATAAAATTTTGTCAAATGATCATTCAATCATCATTTTGACATCGTAATTAATGCTCAATGAGATTATGCAACTGCGGTGCATGATAATTATAATCTGAGAAATAAAAATACGTCATTTGTAATCAATCGAATTTTATCAAAATATTTTCTGCAATATCGTTTTTGGAGTGGCCTTCAATTGAAATAATGAAAGATATATACGACATTAATGGAAAAATATTCAAATATTTATCTAAAAATAAAGGTTCGACAGCTGTTTCTATGCAGCTGGAGCACATTTTAATGATAGATTTTTATATGATCCATAAACTCAGATTTGAATCACATTAAATTGGAAATACATGATTTTTTTGTTATTATTTGTAGTTTCAACTTTGCGTGATAAAAATGGGAAGTATGTAGTAATAAAAATAATTTCGAACACAAGCGCAACATTCCTATATTTCTACATATGCAATAAAGACAAATTTACTATTATACATGGGGCCTGTAAAAGGTCTTTACAAAAACATACCACATATTCCTTAGACCAAAATAAGTCCATTCAAGTAAAATTACCTCAGTACAAAGTTGCATCGTTTGGGCTCCAGAGGGCCTTGAAGTTACAATTTTTAAATCGTTTTTCCCATATAAATTTAAAACGACATATGCGATTTTGCTGAAATTTGGTATATTGATAGAGTTTTATGTTTTATGTGACAAAAAGATATTAATCCATAGGCGTAGAACTTGATTTTTTAAATAATTGCACCTTTAAAAATTCTACGCCAATGGAAGAAAAGGAGTTTGAGTATGAAATTAAGATTGCGCAACTCATTTTCTTTAAAAAAGGTACTCTTGATAAGACTCGATTACTCTCATGGTTTTGACGAAATTTGCATTTCAGTAATTTTAGAACATAAACAATAATAATTATTAAAATACAAGCTTTGTCAAAACCATGAGAGTAAATCGAGTGTTATCAAGGGTACTTTCTAGTAAATTCATACTCAAACCCCTTCTCTACCTAAGGTACTACGGATATTTGGTATTAAAATAAAAATATTAAACCAAACTATTTTCTAATCGGTATGTACCGGGTGGGGCATTTATCTTGAGACAAAATCATATCTCGGTTGGACTCGATTATTTCGAAAAAAATTTAAACAAATATTGTTAGGCCATTGAAAGGTCCATGTCACGGCTTCAGGTCTAGACTGACAGTGGGGCTTTTATACCGGAAGTCGATTTTTTCTAAGGCCATTTTATGGCCAAAATATGGGATAAATCGAAAAAATAATAACGAAAAGTATGTATTTGTTGGTTTTCCATCGAAATCCGAGCTGAAAAATGGAGGTTTCCATTTGAAAACATCGACTTTCGGTCTAGACCTGGAGTCGTTATGGCCGCCTCGGTGCCTTACAATTTGTCTGAAACTTCTTTCGAAATAATCGAGTGTAACCAAGATATGATTTTCTCTCAAGATGAATGCTCTACCCGGTAGCGATTTTACTAAATATAAACTATTGCAGCACAAGACACGCCCACCATAATACGTCATATCTCATACTGTGCTCCAACGCAAGAACTGAAGCTTTCTCGTTGTCAATCTCTTGTACGCAGTAAATTCATACACCCAAATGGTCTACTGGTTAGCGCTGTCGACTCTCAGTCTGAAGGTTCATGGTTCGAATCGCTGTGAACTCGAACTTTTTTTTGCAACTTTTTTTTTCGCCAATGTTTTTTTACTTCATTCTGGTTTTCCTTTTTCAAAAAATATTTGAAGTCAAATAGGTTAGTGCGTTTAGGATAAACAGTCTCATTTTATTCAATTTTGTTGAAGAACTCAACTTTTGAAATATATTGCCATCAGGGATAGGTTAGTTCGTTGAGGATAAATAGTCTCTGAGTTTTGCCGAAGTAAAGTACTTTGAAGATGAGATATAACGTGGTACGGGCTACTTTTTCAATCGATTTATTTATATGAATCAGCTACGTTGTGCTGTCAAAGATTAGATTTTGCAGGATTGTGCTGGGCTCGATTATATTTTGCAATGCCGTAGTAGGGGGCGTGTCTTGTGCTGCAATAGTTTATATTTAGTAAAATCGCTACCCGGTACCTATAATAGCGTTGTCACCGAAGTTGTCATTGTAGTAAAATTCTCTTGCCCCTCGCTTATAACCTACGCGAGTGGTAAAGTGCGTCTATGTGCACAGTTTACAGCGTTGCCATTTTTTAAAGCCACTTATTTCTGACTTATTTGAAATTTTAGTAGTATGTATGCTTGTAAACATTTTATACATGTCTATGATTCTCACTGACCTTAAACCTCTTGTCCTGCAGAACTTTTTTGATGGCCACCAGTTCGGAGGTGTCGCACAATTTGGCTTGGTAGACGACGCCGAAGCTGCCATTGCCGATGACCTTGGTGTCGGTGTAGGAGACCTCTTGCGGCCTGTCCGGTCCCTGGCCCGGCGTCGCCACCACCGTCGTCACTTTGCTCCCGTCCTTGCCTATGTAGCCGCCACCGAAAAAAAGAAAAGAAAAACCGTCGTTAAAATAGCTTAACGCATGAGCGCCCATTGGAATGTGCAACGTTTCAGCGTTTGTCAGTCACGTAACGCCGAGCGTAACGCTCTTGATGGAATGCGTAACGTTATTGATGGAATACGCAACGTCTATCCAAGGCTTTTGATGGTATGCGTAATGTTCAAACTGTCACTTCTCACATTCGCGTAATGGTTCAGCGGTCACCCTGATTGTGTCACAGATACGTAATGCACAACGTTCCAACGTTTGAGGTTTGAAGTGTAACAGTCACGTATCGCACTCTATGAAATGCGTAAAGTTCATACGTTAGGGCGTTGAGGCCATGTAAAATATTTGACTGTCTGCGACGAAGTGACATAGTCACGTAACGCTTTGACCGACATGAAATGCATATCGTTGCAATAACCAGGACTGCATGCGTCACAGTAACGTAATACTCCTGATGTAATGAGCAACGTAGGCTCCACCGAAAAAAGATAAGGAAAACGGTGGTTTAAATAGGATAACGCGAGAGGGCGAGAGCGCTCGATGGAAAGCGCAACGTTTCAACGTTGGCGACTGAATTACGCTTTTGATTGTATGCGTAACGGTGAAATTTTCACAACTAAACTACCCACATTCGCCTAACGGTTCAGTGGTCAACACTGGTTGTGTCACAGTAACGTAATGCACAACGTTCCAACGCTTGGGCTTGAAAGTTCAAGTCACGTAACGCACTCTTTGAAATGCGTAACGTTCATACGTTAGGGCGTTAACTTGAGGCCATGTGAAATGTCTGCGATGAAACGTGACATAGTAACGTAACACTTTTGCTGACAAGCTGTGTATACGTTCCAATGACTATGACTGCATGCGTCACAGTAACGTAATACTCTTGATGTGATGAGCAACGTAGGCTCCACCGAAAAAAGATAAGAAAAACGGTGGTTTAAATAGCATAACGCGAGAGCGCTCGATGGAAAGCGCAACGTTTCGACTGAATTACGCAACGCTTTTGATGGTATGCGTAACGGTGAAATTTTCACAACTGAACTACCCACATTCGCCTAACGGTTCAGTGGTCAACACTGATTGTGTCACAGTAACGTAATACACAACGTTCCAACGTTTGGGCTTGAAAGTTTGAGTCACGTAACGCACTCTTTGAAATGCGCAACGTTCATACGTTAGGGCGTTAACTTGAGGCCATGTGAAATGTCTGCGATGAAACGTGACATAGTAACGTAACACTTTTGCTGACAAGCTGTGTATACGTTCCAATGACTATGACTGCATGCCTCACAGTAACGTAATACTCTTGATGTAATGCGTAACGTAGTCGCCACCGAAAAAACGTCGTTAATAGCGTAATGCAAAAGCGCTCGACGGAATGCGTAACGTTTGAACCTTTGCTACTGAATGTGTCAGTCACGCAACGCCGAGCGTAACGCTCTTGATAGAATGCGTAACGTTATTGATGGAATACGCAACGCTTTTGATGGTAAGTAAACGACATCCATCCACCAGTCAAATTTGACGAAACTTCATGAGATCTGTCAATGATCAAAACATACATGCCTCAACTCCAATTTGAGGTGAACGAAATACGTGCCTTTATTATAGTTTCAGTAATGCAACGTAACGCAATTATATGAGATGCATAACGCTCTCAAAGGGATGCGTAACGTTTCAGGTTTCAGCATACGCGAATAAACGTATCGCATAAACTCAAGTCCCTTAGGTTAAATGCGTACATAGATCTATCTGTACAGATTCAGAATATCACATGCGGAAAATTAATGACACAATCTTTGTCAATCCAGTTTTGAGACCTAGTTCACATGAATTATAATCTACATGGATACGCTCAGAGTCCGCAATATAAAATGTGATTCGAGATTTTTTTTCTCACCATTCATACGTTATAGTCACATAATTATGTGAATATTATGCATGTAATACGGAAACAGTTGAAATAAGTGTAATGATCGTACGAGTATTTTTTCAGACATGGAACCAAGCATTATATAAGAAACAATGAGATAACAGAGACTCATGTATAATAAATAACTATATAAAAACAAGATTATCATAACAACGGTAGTGAATTCCCGAAAATGTAGAAATATGAGGCATAATTTATTGTAATTATGTAAGTATTGTAATTCTCTGAATAGATACAACATGAAACATATTGTGATACACATTAAACATCGGATTGATGTCAATATGAAGAAATTTGTATTGACCATCAAGAATACCGTTCAATAGTAAAGTTAATGAAAAATTTAATTTCCTGTTAATTACTGGAGAACCGAAAAAAGATAAATCATTTCTTTGACCGTGAGACTCCGAAAAAAATGTTTGTCCTTGATCGAAATAAATCAATTAAAACTGTATTCGGAAGCAAATTGGAGGCAATAACATTGAACAATGTTATGTTCATTCCAAATAAAGGATAGCACCTTGTGTTGAAGTTTGGCATTTAAAATATTTCATCTGCTTAATGAATCGAAAGTAGGTTTGCTCATGTCAAGGCAAGGTGGCCCAAATCGTAATATTTCGAAGCCACAAAACTGCCATATTTCTATTACAATCACTTAAGGACAACCCTGTACAAACAGAATTCCATTATCAAATTATAAAATCCTTATAAAATTCACATAACTACCAAAAATGAGGTGAAGTTAATATGAATTGAAATCGATAGCTTCTCAGAATATAAAAAAACATAATTTGAAATTTGATTCCACTGAAAATATCCTTCGCCCAACATGCAACGAGTTACATAAAATATGTATTACATTCTCTCAGTCCACATTTAATATTTTTCAGTGGATATATGATTTCAGTATTATGCTGATGTGGAATTTGTTGGCAAATAGACACGCGATCTAGTGACCTTTTCATCGATACTTCACCGGAAATTGACTGTTTTAACCAAAACAATAAACAGGAAACAATTTTTGTGCTAAGAAAACATCAAGGCCAAGAGTATTGTTTACATGAAAAATGTTGACCTTTTCAATTATTACTAGGAACTTCTTTGACCTAATTGTGACTTTAGAAAATAGACATAGAAAAATTGAAGATATGCGTACCTTGAGGAGGGTAAAAGCCGTTAAGAACAATTTCAATAAAATTCGAAATATACTCCACAAAGGAATTGAAGCCACGCCACTGATGTTTTATCGAAATTCAGGCCACCCTGTCTCTGAAATGTTTGTACAAAATGGTACCACTGATTCCTGAGACCAGAATAAAACGGTTGAACCCAGTTGAACCAAACTCACCTCTAAAAGGAAAAAGAATTTGTTGCAACAAGGTATTTGTTCAAATGTTATTCTCGTGACATTTTTGTCTTGTGATTTATTTTGTAAATTGTGTTTATACAACACCCCATTTTATTCGTCGCTTCAATTTGGGAAATACCCTGTATAAAGTTCGACCACTTTAACTTTGGGACATCACGTGATGTTCGAGACCACATGCTGTCCCAAAGTTATCGTGATCGGACTGCAAACGATAGGGCTGATAGTTGTTATTCTAGCAATATTTCTGAAATTTGGATCATCGAATATGCTTACTAGAGGGCACATTCTCACATTTAAGGTTTTTTTTTCATCTTCCGGTTTCCTTGGAAATTACATCAACTTTCGATTTCCAAATGGAACCCCCTGTATTTTATTCCATAATCGGTTAAGGATTAATTTAACAAATTCATCGATACCGGGTTTAATTGGGTTATTTCAAACGGTTACGATCAATGGGTGTGACGACGCAATATCGAAACTCCTTTTCGTTTGAAATAACCCTATCAAACCGTCAATTTTGTTACCTCTGTCAAAAATACCTCCATTAAACGGAAAAAATTCGTCCCATCCTGTATAAAACATATTTACTGAACAGCCGTTTACATCAGTATGGGTTAATTTAGATGTCCGAATAACATTGATACCATGGCAACCGTTTAAAAGTTATACATGAAATATATTTTTTTATCAAAACATTCAAGGTCAATAACTCCGTAACGAAGTTCGCTATACATGTTTTTAATATAAAGTACTAACATTATTTTGGCTCACTCTGTCAGCCCTATCATTTACGACATGACCTTTCAATTTTTTTATATGTCTCTATAACAAAATCAACGGTTTAAGAGGTATTGTTAAGTAAGAATTTCAACTTCTGAAAGGAAGGCGTTTTGATACGACACACTGTATACTCAATTTTCTTAGGAAATTGAGATCATATCAATAATGTTAGTTATGTGTTACGAATTTCTATGGATTTTTTTACGATTTTTGTAATAGTCTAGTTTTCACATAGAAAACCGCAGGAAAATTGAAATACTGAAAAAAATCTTAAAAATGTCAACTATAGAGCCCTGTTAAGCTAAGGTTCAATTTATTGTGGAATTTTCGACAACTTACATCCGAAAGACAGGACAGTATAAAAAGTAAACTTTGAAAGTACGTTTGTTTCTCATTTCAATTTCGTCCTAGAAATCCCTGTGTTATCATTTTGAAGACATTTCAGAGGCACCCTGTGCAATTCATGTTATTATAGTTTAAGAGCCGACTGCAAATTGCGACCGTCATCTGATAACGAAAAGATACCGGGTGACCAGTTATATTCTGACCCATTTCAAATGCTTATATCTCTGAAACCATTCAAGTTATCGTTGTGCAGTTTGGACTAGTCTATTTTGATATTTTTCAAGTTTTTTTGACAGGTTCACCTTCTCTCTTGAACATCCGGTTCTACCGGAAACAAACTAGCCATTATTCAGGTATAGGGCAACTTTTTTATTTCATTGAATCACCCTGTATATTTTTGCACATTCAGAAAGACTGGTCTTTTCTCTTTCTAACAATGTATAACAAGTTATGTTTTCTCAGAAAACTATCAGAGTTATAACTCTTTGAAGCATCTACTGCATATTATAGGATGTTATCCTGAAATGCTGAATTACCGTATATTGAGTATAAATCTGATG